CAGGCTATTGCCCCTGAGCAGGCTATTGCCCCTGAGCAGGCTATTGCCCCTGAGCAGGCTATTGCCCCTGAGCAGGCTATTGCCCCTGAGCAGGCAATCATCATGGAGCAGTTATCCGACTCACACCCCCTCCGAGGGGCTCGGAGACAGGTATTCTCTAGTCTCTCTCTTCCATCCTTACTGCAAGCTCTGAGGAAGAGCAACAACAACACAGATTATGCAGATCGTAATATTGCGGGCACTACAATTAAAAAGCATCCTGACGGTTACGAGGTATGCTTCTACGCACAGTGCGAAGAAGGCGAAAAACTCTGGAAATGCGACCTTGCCGCCCATCTTAGAGATTTATGCTCAATTTATCGCATAGAGCTGAATCATCCAGTGGCGAACCGATATACTCTGGTCCCTCGACAACAGGAGGACAGTTACCTCTATTATATTCACACGAGGGAAGCATCCTTCCATAATCAAGGAGACCTCCCTGATCAAGCCGAGCTCGACTTTCGGGTGGGGAGTTGGGATGAGAAAGACAACTGCTGGCGCGCTATCAAGAAACGCAAAAGCCAAGCTAAGCTTGATGAGGAACTGGCCAAAAAGAAAGTCCGCTTCCTACCGTTGGAAAATACTGAAAGCCAGTCTTGTTCTCAAAGACTAACTCCTCCCTTGTTTGACTCCGACTCTGAAGAATCCGAGTTGTAAGCACAGGAGTCGCCTGTCTTTTGCCGAAGGTTAGATAGAATGTTTATTATTGTAGCTGATTACTAGAAGCTATATACTATTGTCGATGTCATGAACAATATCTACGGCTTCTTGTTGGAGGATCTCCGCAACGAAGACGTACGGTATGAGGTGTTGTATTCCTCGACTTTTCAAGAAGAAATTATGCTGACGCCCTGTTAGTGAAAAGCTCATTCTCTCGGGCAGTAAGTACTTACTGCCAATATCTCCTTAATTTCTGCTGTCGGGAAGTTTTCCATTAGATCTCGTGCATCTGGATCGCAGCTCGACGGCCTCCGAAGTTGCAGGGACTGTGGATAGAGCAGGCTCGAGTCTGGCTCCAGCATTTTCAATAGAAGGAGCCCAGCGGCTTGGATGTCTCTCTCCAAGGACCTTCTCCTATCTTTCAGGACCAAGCTCCCAACATTGGCTTTGATAGGTCAGCTTCATCCTAAGATTTTGAAGCAGTAGACTAACCTATTTTAACAAGCCCACCTCGGTTGAAGAGCACGTTCTCACTCTTCAATTCGCCATACTCAATTCCAAGCTCTTGATGAATGAATTGGATTCCTCGCAAGATACCTTGACAAACTGTCGCTATATCTTCAACCTGTAACGGGCCGAGAGGCGTATTCAGTACGCTTATAAGGTTGACAGGTAAAAGATCGTAGATAAGGTAAATCGAACGGTCGAGGAAGTATGCAGCCGTGAAAACCACTATATTTTCGTGCAGAAGAGGGCGAAGGTCTCGCAGTTGCTCCCGCGAGCATTCAGAAATCTCGCTGATTGCCACGAGCTTGTGAGACTTGTTCGAATTATATGCAACAGTGACTCGGCCTCCTCGGTTAACGGAAAGCAGACGAACATAATCTTGCCACGGGCTCTTGTCGAGTTTAGCGACGCGCACTGGCAGTGCCGGTCTTGAGACATGTAGCGAAATGGGCTTTGAGGCCTGAGTATCGTCGCTAAGCTCACTGTATGTTCTCTTCTGAAGAACTCCCTGTGGCTGTCCGTTGTTTCCCTCCTTCCCCGGCCAAAAAGTGCGACGACGTTTATCTTGTTCAGACATTGCGATTAACGTTACGGATTACAGACAGGTTTGTAAGTCACAAAGGTCCGGCTTCAGGGAAGCTAACTGTATCCCACTGATAGATGATGCATTTACAGGTAGGACAGCCAACAGCCCCAAAACGCCCCTTCCCCCCTTAAACCAAAAACCTTCTCTCTTTCAAGCCACAAAAATTACCCATGTTATCTACCCTACCCCTTCTCTTCCTGAGGGAGGGGGGAGGGTTTTTCCATCCCCCTCTTAGCTCACTGGTACCCGATGTTAAATTCTACAAGAGCATCTCAGACTACCATACGTAGCAACGAGCATTTCCGCTAATCATTCATCGTTCAGATCTCGCTCTCTCCAAAATGTCGAGCTCATCACCTCCGTCAACAGGGTGGCCATTTGAGGTTCAAGACCCAGTTGAGCTTGCATTTGACCAGGATGAATTGAGTGCGGGAAATGCTCAGATACAAGGTTTGGGATTTCGCAGGACTGCCACAGAGCCGTTACCGCTGACCAGTTATTAAGTCTCCACGAGCCCCATAAGACTCAGCGACGGCCTAGGATTAACCTTCCACTCCGACGAACAATTTCCAGCTCCTGATGTTACTCCTAATCATGGCATTAATCCAATGCCTGCCAACCAAGAAGAAGTTCAGCGAAGGAGAATCAATCAGCACATCTATGAGTTATTGCAGGCGGAGGATAAGAGGCGTGAGAGACAGAAGCGAGTTAGAGTATGTTATAATCTTAGTACCGGGACCATTCACTATATTAACATCGCCATTACTAGTTCGAAGACATGGGTGCAAGTCCGAGAAAAAGAGCGCGACTCGCCTCCCGTTTAGAAGAGCTTCTGCACGACGAGACAGAAGTACCCGATCTCTCCGCAGGGTCAGACTTGTTGAAACTTCAGATGATCGCTCTCGGGTCGCACGAACAAGAGAAGGAGAGGTTGCTGAGTATAATTGAAGGGCTGGAGAAAGAGATCAAGAGACTAATTCACTTGAACATGCAACAAACGGAGAGAAGGATGTGGATAGTCCGAGAAGTATTACAGGGTCGCGCTACAGATCTCAGAAAGCACAGTGAATTCTTAATGTCACTAGCTGAGCAGGAGTTTGACTGATCGCTTTTGTACAGTAGGAGAGGTTATTATGGAATAAGGCGAGTGAATGATTTTATTACATATAAAACAAGCCGAGCTTCTGGTTTCGAAATAGGCTAGCCAAGAGGGAAGTATGATAGAGATAATGAGAGAAGGAGCAGTAGAATAGGGATTGAAGTACACAGAGTCACACGGTCATTGGTAACAGGAGGGACGTAGCGTTTGCTTAGAACTGCCGGATTGCTGCTTAATCTCTACCGAGTGCTTGGAGGAGAGAGAATCAAGTGCACCTCCGCTCCCGCCTGAGGTAGACTCCACCATTATTGAGCCACTTTTTCTCCTCACTCTGGCGCTCTCCATTACAATATACTACTACTTTAACCCCCCCCCCTTTTCCTAAACAAGGATGAGGGGGGCCCGAGGGAGGGGGGATCCAATACGCAGCACACACCACCCTAGGGGTCGAGAGTCATGGGTGGGTGTCGATTATATATACTCTAATCACAAATAGTCTATAATACTCTTTCTATTATTTTGTGTATGCTGCGTCTACTTAGGGTAGTTGAGATCACATCCTTACTAGGACCTTGATAAGATGCTAGCTTCCAGTCATCCAAGGCTATATATCACGTGTTACGAAGGTCGACTCTGTCTTATTCGTTCCCAGCGATCCAGTCGTCAGTCGATACAAACTACTACAGCCACGGTTACGCCCATTGTGTCGCAGGTAACTCCGTTAGTCATCGAACGGCAATCACAATACATTAAAATACTTCAGCAAACGGTAGACGAGTTACGAGAGGAAATTAAACAGATAAATCACAGAACGCTTAGCCCGCCACAGTACAGCCGCAGGAAAGAATGTTGTTGTGCGAATAGAGAGGACTACTACCGCGAAACTCTGAACCGGGTCCTCCTCATAGCAGTCGACATACTAAATGAGCTCAGACACCATTATAACGACGGAATCCCAGCCGTCTTCACCGACAGCAACTCAACAGTTAATGTTCCATGAGGATAAGGACGAGTTCCAGAGCTACAACGCCGAGTCCGCAGACGTAAAAGAACGAATAGATCAATACATTGTTGCATGGTATGCACAATCGTATCCTGGGTTTTATCCTTCCGAAATCCTGTCCCTCGAAGGAAACTATTCGCGCGAGATCCTTTATGCAGCTCCTTCGATTCTTCCTCAGTATTTAATCCCTGCGGCCTGGGACTCAAGTATTGTGGGAAACCTATTCGATATCATCTGTGTCCCCAGGAGTGAGCACCCCCAAAGAGTGTCTCTGGACAACATGCTCTTAATTCTCAGCCATCAACCATCTAATGCAGCTGCGGCGGACGTGGCGACAAGGCTGAGAGAAAGAGCAATCGACTTCATGCGTCGTTTCCGACAGTCACCCGACCTGCCTCATTGGGAGTACTTTGCATTGCGATTGAGCATGTATCAGCACACTCAACTTGCAATACGGCATTCCAGCTCTAATTCATTCCTCCGACTCAAGCGTTTTCAAATCGAGCATGAAGAAGCAAGTGCTATACTTTGCCTGACACCATATCTGGAGTCGAATATACTCATTGCGTATCCTGTAAGTTTTAGGGAGCTGCTAGTGGGACAATCTACAGAACTGAGTTTCCCGGCACTATTCGATGGGGATAACCATTGTCTTACGGACAGAAGAAAGGGGGGGAAGGCCAAGAGAAATCACGTCCCCAGAAATGATTATGGAAGTGCCAGAGAGGACTGATAGAGAGAGGCTCTCTCTTCTGTCATAGCATTTTAGATAGATAAAAATAGCACTGCTTGTTGACACTACGGCCACTCTGAAGAGAATATTATTACCGTTCTCTATTGTAACAGAGCACTTCAGGGTTCGGCGTGCACGTGCAACAACGCACAGAGGCCTGTCCAGCAGATCGGGAATCGAGAACGCGTTTCTGGTTGATACTGACAAGACAACACCACCATCAACACCACCCAGAGGGGCAGCGGCTAGGGCTACGAACACCTAGCACAGCGGCAGCATCGAGGAACAGAACAGGACAGATAAAACACTCGAGAATAGAGGTAGACGGCACCAAAAGCCGTGGAATTCATGATACTCTGCTCAAACTAATGAATGGCACACTGCCAGCACTGTAAACTGTTCCGCACCCCCCCTCTCTGCCAGCCCATTTAGGTTTGACATGTGACCTGACAGACCTCTGCCCTGCCAGTTCACCACCACCCCAGCACTGCACAGCCACCTTGCCTTGTTACACTATAGCCTCAGGCCTAGCAACAAGAGACTACAAAAGGGAACCTTATCATATAGAACACTACTGAATAGCCCACGGAATAAAACGCAGCTCCAATCGCCTACTCATTGAACAAGGATTCTCCTTGGACCTCAAGAAGTAATACCTTATCACTTTAGTCAACGACTCTTATGATATGCACTAGATTTAGAAGTCTTTCTATCGCATCTGTGCACTGAAACCATTAGTGTAGCAAGCCTAGGCCTTAAGAGCCGTTAAGCAGTGGCTGCCTACAGGGTAACACTCTCGGAGGCACCTGAGGTTGAAACCTTCTACAAGCTACGAACCCCTGTATTGGGTGACCGACCCTCCTAGGTATAGTGAGACGGATTCAACAAGGACACTCTGGTAGAATAGGCACCCTTAAATAACGACTGTGGCACAGAACTGGAGAAAAGGGAGTTGCGAGAGACGGCAATCTCTCTCCTAATATCAATAGATGGCTGGAGACCAAGTTAAGCAGGGCATTACCGTACCTACTTAGACACCTACGCCCTCACAACAGGCAAGCTCTCTACTGGGGAGGGGGAAGGATTCGGAGCGAGGGAAAAAGCAGGGGGAGGGGGGGTATTCTGAGTCCCGACCCCCCCCCCCCCCCCGAAACTTAGCGTTCACTTGGGAGTGTCTCCCCTAATTACAACTACGCCGCGGCGAGGAGAAGGTACCCCTCCCTGGGGTTTCAACAACTGATATCCTTAGATAAAATAGATGCAACTGAGATAGTATCCTGTTTTTTCTTCCCCGATATAGCTACTTTAGCGAAACTCTTAAATACTAGATACTTCTCACTTTAATTTGACAATATACCCTATCACTTCTGCGACCCTTTACTTCTACGATCTCGGCTCTTATCTAGGTACTTTTATAATCCATTATATACTCCCTTATCTATATACTAACTACAAACTTTATAGTGATAGAACATTTTGGTCTCTGCGGCAACATTGCTTCTAAGAATGAACAATACCAGCACAATTTCAAATACTGCTGCATATATTATTATCGCAGTTATTATTGGTCTCCTTCTTTTTCTCTGTCTAGCTATAGCAACAATAAGACGAGCCTGGAGAATATCCGACCTACGGAAGAATAATAATAACGTTAGAGTGAGTACTCTCTTTAGGATGATAGCTCTATTCTAAGTAGATCCAGACAGGCAATAGAGTATAGTTCACGAAGACGGTGCTATTATGTGCAGAGAGAGAATTAAGAAACGTTAGGGCTTGAGAGGTTCATTGGAACAGCATTTTGTTTTCTATATGGAGTTTCTTTGAGCTTATAGAGAACAAGCTATGGAATTGAGAATCAATATCTTTTGAACTTCCATCAGAAATGCGCTGCAGACCGCTAGCGGTGTAGCACTCCTCAGAATGTGCGTTACCACAGCTGCGCAAAGGGTACGAATGCTAAGGCCTCTAGGTCGGGGGCTCTTAGAGAACCCCTCAGGGGTATGTAGCTACTGAACATTGGTGAATCTCTTGCGTATTATGTGCGTTGGGTCTTCGCCGTTAGCTATGTAGAGATATTAGCTAGTACACACTACTTCTCAGATCGTTATAGCAACCCCTTCCCGATGTTAAGACTACAATTAGGGGGCCGTTTGTTGTAGTCTCTGTCAGGGTCGAAGCGCACCTGGATATGCTACCCCCTTGGTAGGCCTCTGTGCGCACCTATGCAATAGCACTCCAGCGTACTTTGTACTAAAAGAGCGATCTTTATATATTTTGTATACTATTTGGTAACATCTAAGACAGAGTACATACAGCTATTTAGCACATTTACTACAGAGAAATACAGCCTTACGTTAACTACTAAGCATTTTCCAAAATCAAACTAGTAATAAGCACATAAATAAACAGATGCAAAATAGAGGTTGCTTTAATAGCAAAAGTGCCACTAGCATCATCTTCACTTGCCACAGACCTTCCATAGAGAATTCCAGTGGGACTTGCAATATTAACAGATGATGTAGGACCTTGAACCGTTGGTAGAGAGACAATAGGTAAGGCTGGCGTCGTCTGATTAATCGCATATTTAGGTATCGTAATGTCGGACAGAGTTGTAGTTGCCGTGCTTCCGTCTCCCGTAATTATTAGTGTCTTCAGTGCCAGGGTGGTAATCAAGGAAGATATCGGGCCTATTTCCAACACATTGTTGATGAATTCGCTATAGTGTGGGCCGGAGTTTAATGCAAACACCATACCAACCTCGCAATGAGAAATTGGTAACATCTGTTCGCAATAGAAGTAGCGGGGGCCAGGCGAGTTGACAGAGAATGAGACAGCCAACCCTCTTGCGTCAGTGGGATTATACTGATTAAACCCAGAGTTGAACCCCTCCTCTAAAGGGGTACAAGGGCTCTCCAGACTGCTTTCCCGGAGTGTGTGATTAAAAGCACGGAAGATGAACTTTACTGTATCCCCGACCTCCGCTGCAACTGCGGAGGGCTGGAAAGCGAACGATGAGTTCGCTCCAACGTGAACGACGTGAGTTCTGGCAAGAATGGACTTTGGTGATCCGTTTCGTGGAGGCGTCTGAGTCGGTGAGGGAGATGATATTTGAGGCCGGCTTGTGGTTATCAAGGTCGGGGTAAGGAACGTCCCTAATGCTGAGTCCATCGTATCCGATGTCGAGACATCAACCACACTTAAAGCCGAAAGAGTCGAATCAAGAGAGGTAAAGGACGAGATAATTGAGTTTACGGTCTGAAAGCCAGTTGTGCTCGTAAATTGTGGGTTGGAAGTACCTGAAGCGGGAATATTGGCGAGACTGCTACTCGATGGCGAAAGAGCAGAACCAAGAGGAGTAGAGGATGAAAATAGTGAGTCTATGGAGGGAACCCCAGTGCTGATGGCTTGCGTGTTAGGCGAAACTGAACTGGCGATACCAGAACTGACGAGACTTAAGGCGGGAAAAGTCGAACCAAGAGCGGTAGAGGATAATGAGGCCATAGGTGTAATGGCGCTGCTCATCGAAATTCCCTGACCGATGCCGGCGACCGATGCGGCAATATTCTGCGAGCTGGATTGTAGAGAGACACTGAAAATGGAAGGGTCGCTACTGACGACAAGACCGATGGAAACGCCGTCGCCTTGAATCGCGGTAGATCTGTGTAACCATAAGTCTAAAGCGTACATATAGGCAGTATATCAGACTTACGTAAGGAGAGCACTTGCTCCCCACAAATGAGCGATGTAAAAGAGGACGAGCCTTTGCATATTTAGAATCGAGGGCTTCAACTTGGGTGGTGTTGGAGAAACGAGTAGTTTCTTAGTGATCTTGAAGTATCCTTTATACCTTTGAAGCGCAGGAGCACTTTTGCTAAGCCCCAACACAGTGTGACCATTCCTTCCCTCCCCCCTCCCCCCCCTCCCCTCCCACCACCCTCTTGTTCAAACCCGCTCTTCCCCCCTTCGCTCCCCTTCTTTCCCTGGCCCCCCTCTACCTTCCCTTTCTCTTTCCATCTTTAGGACTAATATTTAACTTCTATCTCCTGCGCTTCAGCTTACTATTTACCGCCGAAAAATTTCTCTCCATATATTACCTAAACAAGCCGTATCACCACAATGGCTTCAGACAGCGTTTCCAAAGAAGGTTTTCCTATGCACTGGCTTGAATTCGAGCAAGACTGGCTCTCTTTCAGAAAGCTTCTGCGCAATCTTTTAAAACTTGCAGCGCAGCGCGAGACTTGGTTACAAAAGCTCCTTGAGCGCGATCCAATGTGGCGAAGTAACGACAATGCTGCTCAACAGGAGATTTTCCACACTGCGAAGTCGATTTATCACACTGTTAATGCTTCAGCTGTTTGGGAATTGGCCGACCTCCAGTGGCCATTGAGCAAGTATATTACCCTCTTCCATCCGACTTCCGTTGGGAAAGCTTTGAGCGATAGCGATAATAACTTGGACCAACCACTCTCGACGGAAATAAAGACAGACATCATGCAATCTTGTGAAAATGTCTACAAGGAGCTTGGAGATGCCCTTAAGGCTATAAAACGCCTCAATGAAGAAGACCTCCAAAGCTCAGAGTTCGCGAAGAATGCGGGTGACCCGGATGATCGCTCATCGAGTTCCTCAGAAGGGGAGGACGATGAAGACGGCCAGGGGGAGGGGCAGCCAGATGTCCGGTACGATATGGCTCTTGTGTCGACCTATCACAAAAAGCATCAGAGGGCCATGGGCCGTCTCATTAAGTCTGCTTTTGAGGCTGCCCGGTCGAGAGCATCAGATTTGAGAGACATTAAGATGAAAATCAAGGCTATGGATCAAGAATTGGAAAAGTATAATGTGGGACAGCAAATTCCGAACGTTAAACTCGGAGTATTTCCGATCGATGTAATGTGTTCTTATTGGCAAAATGGTGGTACGGAGAAAGACCTTCATGATACTTGGATAATCCACCAATTCTCGGAAGGGTTTTGCAGGGATCCGCCAGTTTGGACAAACAAATATCCAAATATTGAAGAAAGGGCCGCGTTCTTCGGATGTGACCCCCATTCCGGTATTGCTATCAACGCGACGACAGAGAAAGCGACTCGGAAGAAGGAGAAGAAAAAGAGGGAAGGGAGACAGGCCAATTTCTACAGACCACTATTTGACTTGCCAGAGCGGAAAGCGACTCAGCATTCGGCAGAGCCATCACAAGGTACATCTTCTCGCAATGCCAAATTTCCTACGAGAGACGAACGCGCACAGCGGATGGCGGCAACGACTAGAAATCCGGCAGAGCCCGTCTTCGGGAATGCCGGGCGATCAAACAAAGTGGGTGCAAGCTCACACCCGCGAAAAGGGAATCCTCCTAAGCCGGCCCCAAATCCAAATGTGCAATATCCTGTGAACTTCTCTCATGCTCTTCTCGGGGGCCCGAGCTTCCTCAATGGGTTTCGGGTTCCCATCCAAGTACGAAGTACCAAAATCTCCACAGACGACATCAAGCCAGGTTATACACTGCAAGGACATCGGATCGTGGCTTGGAAGTCCGTGAGCCAGATAGTCAAAGGCCCACAAGGACCCAGAGAGAGTGAATACAGAAAATACGTGGTAAGGCTTGCTGAACACGAGTATCAGTACAGAACGCAAGACGAATGTGGTGGTGGAGCTGTGTGGGGAAGGCTGGCAAGCAGACCACAGCTTTTGAAAACAATTATGCAAATCGATGTCGAAAAGGGCCAACTATATAAGGACGCCTTCCAGCAGTTCGGCTTTGGACTTGACTGGGTGGCGCTTCCCCCGCAAATGTCAGTTATCCCTTCCAGTAAGCCACCTACGGTCGTGGGTGTCTGGTACCGCAAAGAGCTTGAAGGGCCAAAAAAACAAATGGCGATAATGTGGACTACACTTGTTCATCTGGTTGGAAAACGACTCGCGGAGGCATATGTTGCGCAACTTTTTGAAAGAGCCTATAATGTTCAAGTCGATGCTTTCAAGATGGGGGGCTTATGGGCAGCTCTCGAGGTTGCTCAACCTCTAGTCAGCCCACCGAATGGCCTATCGAGAGCCCATCGACAAGCTCAATTATTTGCTCAGAGCGGTATTACCCAACAGCCTAATCAATTTCAGATCCCATGGCCAGGTATTCCGGCTGGGTATGCAAAGTCATTGTCGTCGCAAAGGAGTATTTTCAACGGCAATACACACACATCCGGATCCGGTAGGATCACGAAACGTGCAGGGCCCAAAACGGACCCGGGAGAGGATGAAATGGAAGTTGAGTATCCAGATCGAAACTATGAAGAGGATGAAATGGAATTTGACGATCAAAATGGAATATATGGCCAGATCGCTCTACCACTCAGTGATGATGAGGTAGACGGCGAAGAGTGGAAAACTCACTGTGAGAGCGACAGCGATATTGATATATTACCAACCAAGGACCAGAATCTTACTGAGATAAGGCAGAGCCGGCCTTCCCACGCCCAAGCATTATTCGGCGGAAACGGAAAGGGGAGCCAGCTCTTCCACTCCCCGGGCCTATTCGGAGGAAACGGAAAGGCCACAGAGATGAGTGCTGACGCATCTGGGAAGCCGGAAAGGCCGAATGTAGAGGAGGTGAGGGAGAGCCAACCTGCTCAGGTACAAGGGTTATTCGGCGGAAACGAAAAGGCAGCAGGTGCTGAGGGATCTAGGAAGCGGAAATCGCCGGATGCAGACCCTACAGGCGCAAAAGAAAACAGTATAGGTGCTGTGGCAGTTGTTAACTAAGCCCGCTAACCAATGGTCACTTGGCACCCACTCCGCCCCCAGCTGTTTTGTACAGCTCGTTAAGTCTCGCCGTGATAGGTTCAATCGGCTTCTACAGAGGTTCTATGGTCAGCCTGGTGCAGTGGCAAGTGGCGTGTCTTCTCCCGTAAGCACCCAGGGGGCACTTGTCTCTCTGTTGCTTTGTATTTTTTGCCGCCGCTATAGTATTTCCAAGCAGATATATCGTTGGTAGAAAGATAGTGTTACAGACTGCATGATTTCTGTGTTATTCGTAAAGAGGGTTTTTGTATCCTCTTGCCTGTGGCACTTCCTATTTTATACACACTTTGACCCGCGGTTTAGGAAGTCCTAGCCCCCCCTGAAATCTCCAGGAAACGCCTCCTGAAGCCCTGAGACAGGACGGTAGGCACCTCAATAGACAGAGCGAATTCCATTCTTTTGAGAGCAGCAGAGCTGCCTATACGAACATCCTGACGGCGGTAATTGTATGCATGTACTCCGTAGACGGAGAGACTCTCCTGAATACATGAGACAGAAATAACGACGCAGACCGACAAATCAGAGATAGGAGAATTCGATCAGCGAATATAGACGTAATAAGAGGGACACGAGCCGAGAGACGCACTATTCATAGAGGTAGAGCTGTACTAATATCATTGATTTAAGTTAAATAGGGCAGTAACTGGCAAGCAAGACCAGCTATGAAGTAACTGACCCTTCCACCCTTTAAGGATATGAGAGCTAAGAATTTTCTCATCCAAAAAATAAACCCCATGGTTATTTGCCCATTCAATATTTGAGATATGAACAGTGTCGACTCCCCATGGCCATGCGCAGCATATTAGAAGACCAAACCCTAGAAGACGAGCACCAAGGACTTGTGCGAGAGTTGGCGTGCCTTGAGCTATAATCCTTCCCGTCGCATCAACACAAACAACAACGGACCGTGATCTATGGAGATGGTGCACGATACAGCACCAGTAATAATATAGGAGCCATTTCCCTGGTCCATTGGCGTCTCTTTCAAGGCTGAGTGCCACTTGATTTTTTATTGTGTTCATGCGGTCGATCTCATCAGATAACAGAGTAAAAGATTCTTCAAGATCTCGGTGGTCAGCGGAGTTGGTGGAATCGCCGCAGATGCGATGCATTAGATAGATGAAATCTGCTAAACGGTAGATACGTGGCTCGAACTCCCATTGTTCTTGGTCGAATCGAACCAATTCACGGAGTCGATTTTGGAGCTCTGCATCATGGACATATATGAAGGCGTAAGTACGACAGAAAAGGATAAAGCGCGTGGGAGACGCGAGGCTGGTGGAAATCTTCTCGTCCAGAAATTCGAAAGATACAAACACTGACTTGACGGGCAGCGCCATTAATGGAAATGGCATGGATATGGAGGAGATTTGCAGCGAAGGTGTGTATATGACGTTTGCGAAAAAGGATATGGGGAGGGGTGAGGAGTAAAGGAGTGCGGTGTTCAGCTTTCGTTGAGAGAGGGGGAGGATTGCTTGTGAAGGGGGGCTGGGTGTTTGTTTTGGCGGGAAGGGGGGGTTTATTTTGGGAGGTGTTTACTTCGGGGGTTACTTATTTACGGAAGGGAGTAGGGGGGTGTGGTTTTAGGGGAGGGTGTTTACCTAAAAGGGGGGGTGTTTGTTTTGGAGGGGGGATATTTTCTAGCAGCGTATTTGTTTAGCGCTAATGCTTTTTGGGGAGGGGCGTTTATTTAAAGGGGTGGAGGGCGTTTGTTTAAGGGGCTTGGGCTAACCGCAGGGACTATGTTCCTAAGAGAACCGTCACCTTAAGGGAGAGTACCCGTGAGGAGGCATGGAAAATTCCCCTGATTGGCTCCTTAAGGAGGCCTGACCCTAGGGGATCTGAAGTTTTTCCGAATTCTTTCACCTCACGGACTGTTTCCCTTGGGGACTATTCAGACCAAGGAGGAAATCGACGAAGGGCCCACTCCCGTACGTCCAAATCCCCCCACGGATTGATTCCCCGAAGGGCGCTCACAGCCCCACACATATACTGAGTAGACTGCCCATTACGAGTAGACAATGACCATTGTGGGGCTTTACAGCTTGAGGAATAGGTGCCTAGCCAAAAGGTGTCCAGGTCAACAAAATGACAAGTCTAGATATTCTACCGCTGCACTTTGTGCACTACCCGCACAGCATATCCTGAGGCAACTCTATGGGACCCTAGAGAATAGTACCTGAGCTACCTATAATGCGGATGTATCTTATCTCTGTTGATTTAGACTATTAACCTAATGTTCAAATAACCAAATTCGCTGTGTACTGTTCACTATTCGACTCGGCTTAGTAGATAAATACGTCCGACACTCCCTCAGATAGTCACAAAATACCATATCGGCCCATTACGGACTAAAATTTCTCCATCCTGCTGTCACCTTGTTACGTGTCCTTCACTCCCAATCATCGATCAAGATTCACGACCAGCATTATCTTTTCATAATTTTGCTTCGCCCCTTCAAACCCATTCGCAAGCCGCGTGCTACGTCGACAGCGGGGGTCTTTGTTGGCCTCCAGCGATGCCGAAATCCAGCCCTTGTCGGTAATGTGACTCTCAGGAGTCCAACAGACTTTCCACTGTACTAAGAACAAGGTCATGTTCCCATCCACGCGATTATCAATGACATTGTGCACATGCGAATACAGACTACCCCAGCATTCTGCTTGACAGTGTCGTGAATGCGGATCGAAGTCTCGAGGACTGTCCTTGTGCTGTTGAAGCAGGACCTCCAATCCAGATTCGGCAGCGGCGTCGTCGAAGTCGTCAGCACTCATCCACCTATCAGCCGTGCCTAGGAGATACTCGGCTTCACCATGGTCAAAGCAGAACCTGCGGTTATAAGCGGCATTATGGTCCCAGAGACCATCGGAAGGAATTCCGGAATCTTCGAGACTCATAGGGAGTGACTCCTGTACGCTGATAACTCCGTCTAAATCGCTCCCTACTCGGGATGTGAACGTCGCTGATGCGGATATGGAGGTTCTTGTCACGAAGGAATTTGTCTCAACATCGGGCACAGTTAATTCGTGAGGTGCGTGGCCGCCTATCACTTATTAGCGTGTCTAAACTGATATTCGAAATGAGTTACGAACTCGCACTGATACAGCCGTCGATTGTGTCATCCTTGTTCAACGAGTGAGTATCATGGGACAATTGCTGAGAATCCTCGTGATTAAATTCTCTGGTCGCACTAGTTCGTTGGGAGCGAGCAGATTGTTTGCTACCCTTCCGTCTCCTCGGAACTAGTGTTGGAAAGGGACGCGGTTTGAGAACGGGATCCAACGGTGATGCTTCGCTTCTGCGTGTTGCATACCTTCGACCCCAGCGGAGCTGTCGTGAGTTTTCGAAGTGCCGAACACGATTTGCGTGACGAGTGATGGCCATGGCCGAGAGCGACGATAAGACGGTGAGAGATGTGGTGATGATGAAAAGAAAAAACAGAACGAGGGACAGACAGACGCAACAAAGGGTAGAATGGGAGCTTTATATCATTGATGGGCCCTGATAAGCGCATCGCCCGGGGCCAACACTAACCGGCCAGAACCAGGTTGAGACCGGTTGGCATTTTAAATCACCTAATCGACACTTTATCCAAGATATTCTTGGAGTGGTAGTACCTGCATCACTATTTCATGCGAGTCAAGAGGGATGTATAGGGCAGAGGTGATAGGTGGACGGTTTGGCGTGTTTCAGGAGGCGTGAACTTCTCGAAGGTAATGCTATAGATATAGAGAAATGGTATTGCTCTTCTTGTAGAATGATGTGAAAAGGAAGAAAGGAAAAATCTCTACCTGACCTCTCTGCTCTCCCTCTAAGACATGGCCGTTTTCCGTTGTACTACATTACACTATAGTCCTGGCTACAGGATTTGGGAATTCCGAGCATATAGCCCCCAAGCATGGGCTGTCGATGTGCTCAGAACCCTGAGGAACTCCTCTAAGATTGTGGCGTTGAGCCGCAGAAGACGGCAACCAATAGACCACCATTCCAGAGAAACGTCTCATACAAAATAACCGAGTAAGCTTCTGATTGGAACTTGCATTGCTGAGGACTTACGGGGTATGAAGGCTTCGGGAAGCATCATACCCTTAGGTTGGTAGGCATAATTTTGTGCCAGTGTCGAAATGTCCGCAACCCATGTGCCACATCCAGCCGCCCAAGGACGGGTATGCTCTTGTGTCTCTTCGTCACTTTCACTATGTGGAGAGAATAAGAAACCTTTCCATGGCAACATCCCCAGCCGCCCATTTTCATGCCTTCCCTTCCCCCACTAACTGTCTAGTAGCGATACCGATCCGCTGATTCAATATTGGCGAGTTAAGCATGCATGTGGCCATCGGGAAGGTAAGACAGTGACCACAATTAAGGAGCGGCTGATTCTTCTGCGCCTTCGAGCGCGAGGCCAATACGTACTACGGGGGGCTGAGCAGCCAACGTGCAAAGGCTCTCCATGGTCTCTGAAGGAGATTCTGCCTCGCCGGCGGCAGCAGACCGCACTCGATTGGAAATGCGTGTCGAATTGGAACCGCCACACAAGAATCGTCGGAGGCCACTATGGAATAGCTTTCGAACAATTGGCTGATATATGGTAAAGTTATTGGTCGGACCTTTTAACGGCCGGCATCGATTTCACCAAATTTGTGCGTATGAGGCGGACGGTGGTAGAGAATATAAGACCCCCCCCCCTCTTTCTTCTTTCTCTTCTCTCCAACTTTCCTCCATCTCTTTCCTATTCCCTTTCTCACAGCCTTAAATTTTCTGTGCAAATCTCTATCTCGCTCATCATCTCATACTTATCTTTAAGAAAGAATCTATATAATCTAGGTTTAGTCTACTCCAAAGTAACGATCCGAGTTTAGCGACAGACTTTCAGAATGAATCAAAGCTCAAATCACACTCTAGTGATCGACTTAAAAGATGATTTCGATGACGATCTTCCATCGCTTTCCGATATATTCCCAAGCAGGAGTGATCGTGATATTGCCTCTCGTTATAACGCAGTAAGTGCACTAAACATCTACGGATTTTCAGATTCTAATCTCTCGAAAGCCCTCTTCCGAAAGCCACGCTCAGCGACCGGCCGCGTCGTTACTCCAGGCTCCCGAAAATCGCTCGAACGACGAAGAGGGTGAATCTATTGTAGCATCACGGTCCAGGGAGAATATCGCAAAAGTCCCCGAAAGACAATTAGACTTCGACACGACTCGGTTTCTAGACGACAGTGATTACGACATCGTCAAAGAGTGCAATGGGATCCTCGACTCTACTATCGCGATAAAGCAGCGGTGTACCGCACTAAGGACGAGAATACGGGAACTAAAAATGACACTGAAGGCCAAACAAGCCGACCTCGACCGGATCACCGTTCGACGTCACCAGGAGCTCTTATCCTATGACGAATCTGCCAAAAAGGCACAAGACACGCTTCGAACGAAAGGGGCTAAACTGCGCGCGTGTAAACGCGAGATTAAGTTACTACGCCGGCGTAACGAGCACCTAGCTGAAGATCTGGAAGCCGCGAGTGAGGATTTAGAGAGGACTAAGAAACATCTGCAGTGTGATATCTGTACGGATGCTTATAAGAACGTTGTGACAAGGTGTGGTCACTCCTACTGTGCGGAATGCCTGTCTACATGGATAGGGAAGTCTAACGCGAGCGACTTAAACTGCCCGACTGGCCAATGGAAAGGAGGTTGCCCAATGTGCCGGCGTGCTCTGGGAGCTGAGGATGTCTGGCCTATCTTCCTCGAGGCGGAAGACTCCCCTGTCGAAGCTGTGTGCGCAAAAAGTGACACTGAGTGAGGCAGCAATTTGCAGAAAACATTGGCCCATGGAGTAGATTATGCTCAGGCATGTCTGGTGTTAGAGTTTCCCATGCAGGCTTCCTTGCCTCACCTTACCTAGATGCATGCAGCACCTGTTTGAATCCTGGCGGGCTCTGTTCCAGCAATACTCTCTTCCCACTCGGCCTCGAAGATACCCATCCTGTACCAGGTGTCATATCGTGGAGAACCACCGCAATGGTGGAATTGGCTGCAATAACGCAATGTTGGCTAGCTATGTAACTGTCTATTTGGTTGATGGGTTGCCTCTGAAGGAGTGAGAAGCAGACAAAGAAGAGGGGGGAAAGAGAGCTAAGTAGGCGGGTCTTGTCTCAGTCCTCAGACCCGATATCGGGGCTACGCCCTGATTGGCTAGGCTAGGAGCTAAAGCGCTGGCCAATCACAAAATTCAAAGAATGTTGCGATAAACGAATCGAGACGTTTCCAGACCTCAGCATCTCGCCATTTTGACCTGAGTCATGACTAAGCCGTTTTGAGTCGTGGCTGTGCAATCCTGAACACGGCTTGGCGAGCCCTGAGGCGTGCCCTGAGTAGCGTGAGCACAACCCTGAGTCTGTAAAGGGTCCTTTGGAGGACTCCAGGCCTGAGAGTGGCTCTTACAGGCTTGTTCGGCTAGGCGTAATTTGAACATTTTTAAATGGGAACATGACTGGAGCTTGCAAGGACTCTTTCTCGGGCCAATTTCAGGCTGCTTTGGAACCGATGACACCAATGCGCCGCCAACTTGCCCAAAAGTCGCGCTTGGCGACAATTTACTTCTCCTATGATCCCGCGGTTCCCCTGATTGCGCCAAGTTGCCTGCCCGGTTGCCAAAACATTCTGAGTGAACTAACATACGAACGCTCTCCCACATCAACATCAACAATCAAGATTCACGACCATCGCTATTGTAATGGGAGAAGTTTCAAGTGGTGGATAGCTTTATGATTGGCTGGGGCGTCGACACTAGACTAGGGTTCTTCTTATATAGTTCTCGGGGGGCTATCATCATAGAATGGACAATCAATCAATCAAGTTACGAACAGAGAGAACTTCCTTTGGTTGAGTGTGCGTGTTAGGAAGAGGCTATGCCCACCGCCGTACGAGTTGATGCCCATGGCTAGTAGCCTCGCCCCAGTTCACTATCTTTACCAAACTTTCTTTCCTGCTTTCAAAATTATCCTTCAGCCGCGTGCTCCGTCGCCAGGCCCGCCTTTTTGCGTTGGCTTCCAGCGATGTCGGGATTCAACTTTCATCACCAATTTTGGTCGCAGGGGTCCAATGAATATATCACTTTATTAAGAACTATACTCTGCCTCTATACTCCTATCTATCGGCGACGTAATATATATAGTTTTAGAATCGGACGTGTTTTGTGCTATTAGGATATCTACGACCGTAGAATACTATTTCTTTTAGTAGCCTATGATAATCGGACCGCCTATGATATCTTTTATATTAGAGTATACACTTCGCTCAAATAAGGCGATAACTCGTTCTTCGTACTATTATTTATCTTCTTCTCCGGATGAATTATTCGATTTGTAAGGCTAGTGCTCGGTTATAATAGTATAAAATGTAGATTCTAGACTAAATATATCTATTTCTATCGTCGACTTCCACACTAAATCTTAGAAAGAAGGGTCGAAAAGGTCTCTTTCGTCTACGTTTAAATCTCGGTATATAGAACCACTAAAGTCGGTAAGTAAGATATCGAGAGATATAAGCTTTATAAAGAAGATAATTTTCGGGTCGAAGATTAGAATATATTACGTCTTTACTATAGACGTATTAAATCGCTTCGGTCACTTACCTACACCATTTATTTCGCATTAAGAGGTATGTGGAGTCGTTATTTTAATCGATGTAGTTTTGTAAATTGCCATAGCTTGCTTCAGTAAATAGCAATCCCTTGATGTTCGGATCGTCTCGGAATCCTCGATAGCTAGACGTGATCATATTAGGATATTACCATCCTCGTGTAAATATCAACATACCTAATGATCCTCGGATGCTCCCCCAATCTCTCAAGTATTTTCTTCTCAACTATAAGTTTATATGCATCCCTTTCAGCTATGGATGGGTAGAGCGATTTAAGGATCAGTCCATCTTCGACTTAATAGAAGGCAGCGGTCGAACCGACATAGTCTGTTACCGCAATTACCCCCATAATGTGATGAAAACGGCGTTTCCCGCGTCAGAAAGAAATGAATGCGAGGAATTTATAAGGAGTTCAAGCGTAGCGGTGAGCATTATTTAACCCTTCTAATTGATGAGTAGTCAGTCTACTTCGTCCTGAAGCCAGAATAGGGTCCTAACAATGAAAACCGAAAAAGTCGGACATTCCAATGCCAAGACCGCTTGCACGCTGTCACGTGATCGAGACAGGGCGCTTTTACCTGAAGAAATGGTCGCCAAGAACCGCTAAACTAGGCACCAGCCGAAGTCCAAAACTAAATAACTTCGTGGTTTGGAACACTCCATGACGGCTGAAGAAATATTTTTGTGTTCTTGAGATAAGACTCCAAAAATGCAGGACGCTATCCGAGCCGGGAAGCAGGAGACGCGTAGTCTCTTCGCAACTAGTTCGTACACTTGGTCGTCTTACTTGTCCTTCCCCAGTGAAACGCACCTGTTAGCTGCCGATTGCGTGAATCTCCCGGGAATGTTGGGCCACGTTCCAGCTTTTCCAGATCTCTCTCAAGTCAAATTGGAGCATATCGAGTACGACAATATCATGGAATTATGGGCTACTGGGAGCTCTGTATGGAAGACAACAAAAGGCGAATGCGATCTTCAGGATAAAATCGTACAACATCGCCTGCTCCTTGGGATCTCTTCTCCTGCTTCCCTCTTATTCACGGCAGATGATCGGTTTCGAAATTGGCCTGGTGCTGAAAATATTGACCAGCCTGCAAAGGGTAATTGCATCGCAATCCTGACGCTTGCCTGGTGCTATATTCTGTCTGCCAAATGGACTGAGATTCAACAGCCCAGTCCCTTGGGCCGAGATCACGACTCAACTGAGTTGGGTGGACTGGTGTATCTCCCCGACCAAGCACAATTTGGCTTAGGTAACAATGCAGCCTGCTCTGATGCTGTGCACGTTGATCTGGGGGGAATCAGTCACGGCGCCGCACGATGGTGGGCTGCCATTCTTGCTTCTGGGACTGGGTGGGAAGCTGCGATCACCTATTCTGGAAAAAAATACCTCTCTCCATGGTCAATCCGTATCGGCCCCCGACAACCCTTTCTCTTATGGAGGACTGAAGCAACGTCGCAAGAACGAGAACTGGCAGAGTTCGAAACCGCTCAAAAAGGTCCGCCATCCTCCACCATGGCTTTACAATACCTGTCGGAGTTTTGCTCTCACTATGAAATTTCCAGCCAATGCTTAGCGGCTCTTGCAACTGCATTGATTATCCCGTACCAAGGACGATTGTGCCAGCTCAAACTTCCCAGACCACGTATGGAAGCTCCCTTCAGGAGGGGTCCCTTACCGTCCACCTCTCAGTATAACTTTGAGGAGCATCTCCGGCTTCTTCCATTCTACATGTCCATCAGCTGCAACACTCGAGGCATGAGACCTCTTTTGCATGGTCCCTTTTATGAACCAAGCGTGTCTTGCAATCTTGTTGATTCATGGTTGGAAGGGGCTTTTAAGACCATTGATCCCATCATTCGACGCAATGACTATTCTGGACTTGCAACAGTTCTGGGCAGACGGCAGTCTAGGGTTGCCCCGATTTGGCTGGGTGCTATTATTCTAGGTATTGAGAATCAAATTCTTCAGCCCGTACGTGCCGGCATGTTTGCTATCGACATACTCTCCGCTGCATGGACCTCTACTTCTCACTCGTTCGTTGGCCCGAGGCGAGACATCCCTTCGCGAATTGAAAATTTGAGAATAAGTCGAGCTGATGAATGCCGGCTTCTTTACATCGCACAACCCGATCACACTAGAGTACCTGTTTGCCCGTGGGAACCTTTTGGATATACAGATCTACATGATGCAGATATCGAGGTTCGAGAGCATGCTTGCTGTGCAGGGAAGCACTGTTTACAATACGACAACTGGGCTTGGGATTTACGAGATGGCAGAAAAAGCGCTCCCGATCGTGGTTTCATCCCTAACGACGGTTTTATGGACGCTAATGAAACCACAATCGAGCTTCTGGTCCGCCCTCAATGTCAGGATGACCCTGAGTCAGAAGGGTTAGCTGAAATTGCAACTCGGAGTATATTCGGCTGGCTACGATCAAATGGATACCCATCGAAAGAACGAGGTATTTGGATGCATCCCTGGCTCAATGTCAACGACTCTTCTGACGAAGAGATTGACGATCTCTCTGAAGGTGGCAGCGCAGATGGGGAACGGGGGTCAACTATTGAGAATTGGATCTCGAAGCGTGTCGACAAATAGTATGGAGATGTCTGGGACTAAATATGGGTTTGCAAAGGTTCAGACTATCACAAAACAAAGGTTCTGATTTCGCTTGCTCCATCAACCTGTCAAGTCTTTGTACTCCTGAAATCCTGCAGGCCCGTTGTACGGATGATCGTCACACTTGCGGCAGATAACGTACAGACCAGACGGGGTATTGGCATGAGCTCCGCATTGACAGATTTTCCACGTTTTGCGGCATCCTCGGGCGGTGCAAGTGTAGGTGTTGTGCTCATTGTTTTCATGTTTGCACCGCGAATTCCTACACGTTCCGCCTCGTCCAGAGCTTGCGGTCATCCCTCTGTACAGCCGATGAACGCGTCCTTGTTGTTCTTGGGATGCAGGCACTAATTATTATATCTACGCGAGGTGTTAATAAATCCCTTCCACTCTCGGAAAGGGGAGGCTTCACTTCAAAACTGCACTTCGAAATTTGACTTCGAAATTGGATGAGCAGCTGGGACTGATGCGGAATGTGACAACCGATGCCAAAAAAAAAAAAAAAGCAAGGTCCGCGAATATGTCGGAGGAGATATGGCAGACTTGCTATAGTCACTGTTGTCCCCATTGAGAACATGCGGAGCTACTTTCTCATGCAGTTAAAAGGATGCCTATCATGGATTGGGTTGCTCTGTGTCGAAATGTTACAGTATGGGTTCCCTGGCTCTTTGATGACGGCCGTATGCATGAAGGCAGGTCCTCCGGTTCTGACCTATCCACATCCCCATGCTCGTTACAGATCCAGAACCCGCAACGCCTGCATTGTAATTGCAATATGACCCTAAGTGCTTCTAGTCTCTGCAATGTCTCGAGCGGGACGTTCCACATGCTCTGGCGTGAGGCCTCAGCGCATCCCACAAAAGTAGGCAGAAATTTGGATGGGGAAAGGTGATTTCACCAATCGAATCCCGCGCCTTCAACTTGGCGCCAAGCAAACTTTAAATGTCATAATTCAGGACCACAAGGGATGCCTCCGGCACTCGAACAAAATTGGTAACGCCCAACCAGACTGCCTCAAACTCTTGTTCTAACCACCCTTTATTAGCGGGCCCGAATGGGTCAGGCAGCAACCAATAGCATCCCGACACATTTTGGCTCTTGAACCTTCCCCAACCTCCCCAACCTGCTGAATCTTCCCTACCTGCTGAACTTCTCTGCCATTCGAGCAATGAATCCTATGGAAAAGCGGCTTGCCAAAACCACGTCAAAGATCAATGCCATCAGAGCTGAACTGATCCGGCACAAAAGAATACCACTTATCTATGAAGAGAACCTTGAAGAAGGTTTAAGCATCACATTCAGCTTCCCAAAGCGCCTGAAACGCCGCGCTGGAGTGCGGCAAAATGACCGCGACTACAAACTACGTTCAAACCAAAAGAGAGCCAATCTGGTGTATCTGAGAATCCTTGATGAGATACCTCAGATCTATATTTCCTTTATCCTAGCTGTCTCTCCACAAGATTGTGCGCCTCTTGACATCACACTCTTGGTGCAGCAATACAGCTCGCAAAACCTACAGCCGGAAGCGATACAATTCGATGCAGGTACCGAAAGAATCATCAAAGAGATATCAACGAAACATAACTGTGATCGCAATCCTCATTACCAGAAACTTCTGAATATTTTATACCCACAAGGTAGGTCGCCTCCACTTCACGGAAGTCTCGCGGGTTAACAAGACTAGTTGTCACCCCGAAGCCCATCAGCGCTGCAGAAAGCGGTAACAAGTTCTTACTCGAAGGGCTCAACCCGGTTGCAATCCACGACCATTTTGGAGACCGTGTGCACGAAGCATTTAACAAAGGTCCAGGACGGTTGCAGGAGAAAGCAACCGAAAAAACGAGATGTGCTTGGATAGAGTTCGCCCAGAACGGTGTCGATGACAGCATTTTCTACCTTGAGATTGGAAATGCGGAGCAATTTGCCTACATCTTGTTTGCTAATGCCATACGATTCCTCCCCAAAGAACATACAGATGGGCAGCCAGGAGATAATGCTTATTTTTCCTTCAAAGGAGCCAGCGTCTCAGGTATCGCCTCGTTATTCTCCCCCGAAATTTGTGCAATGATTGACGCCAGTAATCTCCGAGCTTGGGAGAAAGAGCATTGCCTTTTGGATACAACTGACTGTGTCACGATGGAGATGTCCCGCGCAAAACCACATTGGGGAGTAATCAAGGTGCGCACTGCGGTCTTCGCAGCTTATTCAGTGTCTCATATGCTTTGCGAATAGTTCAAGATTTGAGCTTCCCTCTCTTGAGTGAGACAGATACCCCTGCGGGAATGTTCGCGTCTCCATCACCCTTTCTCGTGCAAATAGTCTTTCCTCTCCCGTCGAGAAAAACGACCTCCTCGCAATCGTGAAAATGGTACACTCTGTCGTAGTCTTCGGCAGGTAGGTAATATACTGGGTGTTTTCTGCATCCCTCAAAGTAGTCGAGCGTAACTGTGAGGGGTTTCCACTGCCATAGACTGTTAGACGTGTCCGGGTGAACATAGAGAAATCAAGTCATACCAAATGCTCTGTTGCTTCCTGTCCGGTCATACCAGTATGGCAGACGATCCAGTTCCTCTAACACGCTTCTTGTCGATATCTTTTATATAAAGAATCCTATTTTTCCCCGGCGATAGAGAAGCTTTACTCGGAACGTGAATATAAGAGCATCCGATGGTGGCGGATGGAGGGGTAGAGGGAAAATTCACTTTGACAGTGCTGCCCAACTGTGGCTAAAGGCGCAGGCAGCATCAGGTGTGGCAAATAGTGTGGCTGGAATTCTGGTGTACCTGCCTGAACCTGCCAGAATCTGCCAAATCTGCCAAATCTCCTAAATCTGCCGAATCTGCCGAATCTGCCAAATCTGCTGAATCTCCTGAATCTCCTGAATCTGCCGAGTCTGCTGAATCTATCCTATTTATCCTTAGTGTCCTTAGCAATGCAAGATTAACTTGTTCTGATAGGAAGAATGGCATGAACTGGACATTGAGAAATACGTTGACACTTCATCGGGATACAAGGCAAGAGGCAATCAGCTAACGGCAAAGACTTACTACAACATCAGACCCTGGGTATGCGGCTTCACTCTTTGGACGAGAGGCGCGTAGCTGGGGAAAGATGCTCATCAACCCTGCCGCATCAAGATGCCCGGATTGATGGGTATATTAAGGTGAGTATTTCTCTAATTTCAGGGTCATCGGCACTTTTGAACTCATTCGACCAACAACCCATTTCCAACTTCAAAGATCTACAGTGCTCTCCACTGCCATCCCTCGCTCCGACTTTCAACGAGCAACTCTTCTTTGGGTGGGGAATTTTGATCGTTAGTTCATCATGTCAGGGAACCAGACTGACATTTCCAACAACTCTCCCAAGCCACCAGCACTGGAGGCAAACTCGGCCCCATCACGTAGCGACAGCCCGCCTGGGAATCACTCTACTCAAAGCTCTACTAGCCAGAACTTGTCGTCAACAATCAATTCCTCAGGGTCTTCAACCGCAGGCCAAAATCCAAGTGACAAAGGTGTGTGTTACCTTAAAAGCGTCAAATGAATCGTCAACTAACAAATCCCTCAGAGAAATCGGACGTGGTTTGGAACGACGCCATCTAATCGCTGTCATAGTGATTCTCATTTGTCTCTAATCTCGAATCAAGGCTCAGTTTGGAATGTACGCCTCTACAGACGAATTCGGGAGCAATTTTAGGTGTTCAGATCAAAGATGAGTTGTAGAAACAATGAACATTAACACCTGCTATTCGGGAGCCCGCTACACTGTAATTCTCTCCTTCTCGGATCTGATGGCTTTGTAAACCTCCTCTGAAGAGCGAGTCATCTCCAAAATAAGCTTTATTTCTAGAGTGCTCTGCGTAGAGAGAGCCGTACAGTTCTGCTTCTTCAGTCGCTACCCAAGCTCCAAGTTTTCCTAGTACAAGGTATCCACACACATAGCTACAATCTAAGGAGAAACCTCGTCTATTATCGACGAGGAGCCCGTTGTGCCAGTATATTCTCCTGAGCCCATCGCAAAATTACCTAGAGATGTGCCAGGAGAAGGTATTGTTGATTTTAGATCGTAACCATGAATTCTCTTCTGGTGGTCTCTTAGGTTCCAACTTCGAGCGAACCCCCATCTCTGACCTCGTTTACAGCGCGGGAATTGACACCAGAAGGAGTACCCCGAATGGGCCTTCTTATGACGGGCTAGTACACTCGCAGAGGAAAATTCAAGGTCCTCGCATTCCGGTTCTTCACAACGGTATGGTTTTATGTGTGCATCGAGGTGCCTACTATTAACGGTTGTATTAGCGAGCGTTTAGACCCCTCAGAATATAACGATCAAGACATACAAATACATGCATTGCTGCTTTGTTGGCTGATGTTTGCAAGGCTCAGGGCTTCGAGCCCACGGACAGTAGTATAGGTTGTTTTCGTCCGGCCCGATGCTGTAGAAATGATGACGACGCAATTGGGCATGCTTTTGGGTTTCCACGAACTTAATCTTTCGCTGTTTAGTGTCATCATCCGGAGGTAGTGTTGAGTTCTGAGATGCTGTTGAATTCGATCCATATATCGTAGTCATAGAAGAAGACTCTTCAAGAAAAGAAGAAAACGCGTCGATTACTGGCAGCCGCCAGTAATCGAGACCAGACATAGCGCGAAGAAATGAAAGAGAAGTTTGAAAAAAATAGCACTTCTTATAGAGAACTCCCAGGCCCAATTTTCCATAGCTTACCCGCGGGAGCACTGTGTCTCATATCACTAGGGAAGGCAAGAACGGACCTTACTCCACTTGTTACCTAACCTTCCATGCGGGCTAAACCAACGACTAGTCGTGAAGTGTCAAGCTGGAACTTATCTATGGCTCATTGGAGGCCGCTTCCACATAGCTTATTGCCCCGACTGGCCTGATGTACTAACAGGAAAGGGCATTTCACACTGTCACGAGTCCTCACCGGTTGGAAATGTTGACCAGGACCCGTGAGATGCCACGCGGTTGTCCATCAAGCAATAAGCAGGCAGAGCGAAAATTTGCCCGATTGCGCTGTGGTGGGGCTTGCCATTTAACAATACCGATGAGTACTATAAAAGACTCGAAAGACATCTGAGAGAGAACAAATTTCAACCTCCCCGCTGAAGACCGGCGACGAGAGCTGACCTCCGTTTTCCCCGACTCAAAAGGTCCCGCCAAGCTCCGTCCCCCCGTCACATGACATTTGCGGCCACTCATGCATGCCACCATGTTGGCCCTTTTCCCGGTGGCGGCCCATGGCCGAATTCAGCCTCTACCTGCGCCACGCGTTCATTCATGGCGGAAGCTGAGATTGCCCAAACGAAAGCCTTTGGCGTTACTATCCCCAAAGGCCTGATTGAGTTTGCCCGCGAAACAACATTCGAGTCATTTACTATCGAAAATCATGGAATTTGGGTTCCCGGAGTCAAGACATGCAGTGACAAAGCGGGGCTGAGGCCGTATGCAGATACTGTTAGAGAGTCCATCGCCGCTCAGAATTTCTCGACGCCATTCTGGCCGGTACGTGTAATCTCCACCTCAAGAAGAGACAAGAAGAACGACTGACAGCCCCGCCACATGGCCTAAATAGAAAGACGAACATGGTCCCCTGCGGATTTCTTTACTCGAATTCACCCCTCCAACCTCTCTTGATGTACGCGGCCGTTGCGCCGTCGTCATTCCCCTACTTCGGCTCACTTCGATCAACAGGAAATTGGTGGAGGTGGGATCACACCATTTCGTCAAAGACTCGGGCACTATCGATCGGGTCCCCGACGTGGTCATTGGTGAGCGGTTCGTTTGCCTGGTGGGGATCTGGGAGAAGAAGGCGGCTGGATGAGGCAGAATAAACCAGCTGTTCGTCTAGGGCGGCATTGGCCAATCCATCGTTCCATAGCAGATTGCTGACCTGGACCGCATAAGTCGCTACTGCGCCTTGGACGGTTGCCTCCAGGTGGTTAATCACGGCATCCCGCAGATCCTTGTTTTGCGCCGCCAGAACCGGTAGCGGTGTCCCGAGCAGATAATCAATCACTTTATCATGAGCCTGCCCGGACTTTGGAACTCTCCATTCCCAGCTAAACCTGGTCAGTCTGAAAATCGTGACATCCGTCGGAGAAGAATTGAACGTACAAATCCCGGGGTAACACCTTTCCCAAGACCACGACCACCCCGAGTCCCAGATCCGATTCCCATACGTCGTACCGTGCTGCGGCGCGCAACAGGCTCTTCACGTATGTCAGGAAAGACGGCCGCTGGCTTTCCGGAACATATGGAGCCAAAAATCTGGCAATCTCCTCGGGCGAGACTTGAAATTCCTTTCGCAGCTCACTTAAGACCAGCAACTGACAACGACGTACAATCGTAGCTTGAGCATCGAATCCGTCCGACCCGAGACATTGCCAGGCGGCTTGAAGGACAGGATGATTGCTGACCGGAAGCGGCGAAAACGATCGGGATACAAAATATTGGGGTTGGGCCACCCATAAGGGTCGATTCGGGTCGTTCAATAGGTGAAGCGTCGGAAAGTCTAGCCCTTGGAACTTGTACACATTCTTCCAGCTCGACGCATTCCCCTTACGCCGAACGTCGAATTCCAAGTTCGCCTTGACGTATTTGTCCTTCTCGATCCGAGCATGCAGGCCTCTTAGTTGTTCGTTCAGAGCTTCCAATTCCCCTTCTCGACTGAGAACTTTCGTGCGAAGTGAGCGAGCCATTGCTTATCACGCGGCGGTGATGCGATGTACAAAGGATGGGAGAAGAGAACAGCTGGGACAGAAGGAGTTGGCCCATGTTATCCGCTTGCGACCGCACTAAGGCGCACTATCTTTGAGCACTCAAAGATAGTGCGCCTTAGTGCGGTATGCAGTCGGTTCCTGTCCTCCGCGCAGGGACGGTCTGACGAGCCCCGCTCCGCAGCCGGTCCTAGGTCGTGGTCAAAATAGACGTCAGGCGACAAATTAAGCCTCTTGAAGATGCGATAATTGCTTCCAAACTTTGGCAAGATGACATCCCCATAGGATTTCGCTTCAGAATCCAGGCATACTGAATTCTCCACTGTTGGCCTTTGTCCCTGCGATTTACGCTAATCTCCAATTCAGCCTGCCAGATGGTCGGCCTCTCCTGTTGCAGAGTTCCAAGTCAAGGATGGGTGCCGAAGTTAACAACGCGCAGTGTGCATAAATGCGGCAATTTCCAATCTTGTTGCCTTGCGTCTGCTTCTCTTTCCCTGCATCGTTTGCCTTATTCGCTTATGGTAACATACCGCCATTTCCTGGATTCCACTTCAGATGGAGGGAAGCACAAAGAACTTCAGGGTGGCTGTGGTCGGAGACAAGGGAGTAGGCAAAACGACGCTCATCTATCAGGTAACGCCCCCTTCCGACGGGGTAGACTCAATGTTGATCGGGTGCAGTATCTCCTGGATAATTGGATGACCGAAAGAAAGACTGCCAAGGGACGAATTTTTCAGACGACTGTCACCATCGATTCCACGCTGATAGATGTGGACATCATTGACTCGGAAATGGATCTCGCTGAACTCGCCGAGTGCAATGCCTTCGTATTGGTATTCAGCACGGCGTCCCGGGCGACTTTTAATTTCATTACGTCCTTCAAAGACCACCTACCCGCCCTTCCGCAACAAGGACGTCTCATTGTCTTAGTGGGGACTCAGACGGACGTGGATCACTCGGAGGTCGACTATGAGCATGGCCTCGACCTTGCTAAAGCGATGAAAGCTGGGTATTTTCAGACCTCGTACCAAAATCGTGACAAAGTCGACAACGTCTTTAGCTATCTTCTTCGGCGACATCTTTGTCCGCCAGAAACCTGGACAACCTCTGAGACACCCCAACTACGAGAGTCAACCTCGCTTCCGTTCCACCTCCTGAAGTGGATATGGGTCAATATTTTCTGTGGAGGACGGTGGAAGTCCAAGAGCCGCGTTGGGTATGATTAATCCGCGGTGTGGAAGTCGATGATTGATACAGTATCCCTGTTCTCCTCCCTTCATCCTTCCGTGTCGGACTGCGCGACACCCAATGTATATATCGGTGATGATCCTAGGCAGCTCCCAGTGGGGTTCATGTAGGCTCGACATCCCTGAGGTATGGGCAGTGCTAAGCGCATCCAACCGTACATCAAAACATGCATTTGACTCACCTCAATCAGGTGGAACGCCCAATTCATTCGTGGTCACCTATAATGGTCCTTTGAGGATTATCGATTCCATCGGACAGTGCGGGCACGCCGTCAAACTATAACAATCCTTCTCCTTCCAACCGTAACACTAGATCGTTCGTGTCCCAACCATCCGCTGGTTCATGCTTCGAAAAAGATGGAAGGTATTCCGGCCATCCGAATGTGCTCCCTCTCGGAGAAAGAGATCGCCAGTATGATTCCTCACCCGTGGCCTCCCTGCGCTTATTACGCCCCCGGCTAACCCACCAGATGCCATTGAAAGTCTTTCACACCTCCGTGCCTTTGGCGCATCATTATCGCCCCACTGGGAGCATACGCCATTCGCGATGTCTCCATGTAAAAATAGTCTAGAGGAGAGGGTTCGAATCGCGAGGGACAACAGCCCTTCCGCAACATTTGACCCTGCCGCCATCCTTAATAAGCTAGTGCACGAGATCGAGGCGAATTCTCCATCGATTGGCGAGATACAATCTTTGCCCCAGTTACCGCCTCCCGAAGGCACTTGCGGATGTCATCTCGAGTCATCATCGAAAGATGCCCAGTCTCTCTCCACCAAGGTGACGAGAATCGAAGGCCTGATAGCACGTTATGGGCTTAAACCACCTCCAAGTTCGGTTTTTCAAGCGCTGAAAAAGAAGCAAGAACGAAATGAGGGGACAAGCGAAGTTGAAAGACAATGGGTGGAAGTTTGGCCCGAAATGATAAAGGTGTTGTGAACTTGAGGAATTATTTTGGAAGGTGACAGCTCCAACGGACTTAAAAGGGTCGCCAGTCCTTTCAGCACAGAGTCGTCTGATCTCTTATTCAAGAGAATGTCTTTGGATCTCTTGCCCCTCTTCTTTCTGGTCCCCTGGTGTTGCCTTATCTGCTTTTGGTGTATAATTGTGTGGGTAGACGGACTTTCTGGCTCCCTACCATACGGGCTTCTCCCTGATCCGGAGGACACGACGCACGAAACAATTCTCATTCCTCGTCCTTTGTGGATAGGGTGGGCTTGGTTTCCTCGACACTCCATCATGTCGCCGGACGACACTTCGCTGACTCGGTCTATGGACGACCTGGCTATTTCCTCAAGAAACCGGTCCGATTCCCTCTTCACCACCTACCAGCCAGCCAGCGTCAAAATGTACGGAAGAATCTTTGCGTCGACGATATATGACGGAGGCCATTGTTACTACCTTCCCGTCGATGACGAGGAACGGTATCGTCAAGAACTCTGTAACTCTATGTGGATCGAAGTCGGTGGACATATTCTGGGGTCTCTAAAAGATATCCGACCGGGCATCTTTCTCGACCTTGGAGCGGGATGGGGTATCTGGGTGCAGGAAGTATCTTCATTGATTCCTGGCCGCCAAGTCGTTGGTTTGGACATTCACTACGACGCCACTGGATTCTATACTTTCGAAAATTGTTCCTTCGAGGCGGACAATTATGAAGATCCCTGGGTCTCCCGTGATCAGCCCGTAGCCCTAGTCCATTTACGCGACTCTTACTTCTCTCTTCGACAGCCGCGAGAGTTAGCCAAGAACGTCTTCGAAGGGCTATGCGACGGGGGCTGGTTTCAGAATGAGGAAATGCGTCTGGAGAACTGGACTAGTGAAAGCCCCAAGTTCAACGATTGGCGACTACGTACCATGGAGGCTGCTCGCCGCCTAGGAGTCCCACTCCATTCTGCGCAGGATATCGAAACCTCATTCCGGGAGGCGGGTTTTGGTGAAGGCTGGAAGGAGAAATTCTGTTTGGAAGCATCAGGGGAGACAGCTATGAGCCAAAAACTGCTCGAGGTCGTGAAACTCACAGTAAAGGCGAGCGTCCGGATCTTGGTGGAAGGGGGCTCATGCGGGAGTACGGATGTATGTGACTTTGTGGAGGATGTGGTAAAGGAACTAGAAGAAGGAGACCATCGAATCACCGTTGAAGCAGAAGTGTACACAGCGAGGAAGCCGGACTTCGAGGGTTCCCCTCATTAGAGAAAGAATCGAGAGAAGGTGTAGTTCCGAGGATATAATGTCTTCCAGTTGAGGCCAATCTAATCGGAATATATTAGACTTACGTCCCAGCTCGTTGGATTAGCTATTGCCTTCCAGCCAGCAGGACAGCAAAAACAACCCAACAGCGTTACACCATGCCTCTAACATGCGAAGCAACGGGCGCAACTAAGGCCCTCTGCGTGCTCTGTGGAGAGCCCCATTTTGGTCGCGATTGCAAATTAGGCACCGACTCTTTTCGGCCATGCTGCGGAGGATATCATGATGCACCGCACCGGAAAAATTTAGGGAAGGTATACGAAGTGGCGTGTGCCAGAGAAGACCGCAAAGCTGCAGAAAGAGCAGAAAGCGCAGCAAGGGCGACGGCCGGAGGATGGAACTGGGCGGAGGCCTTGTAGAAACTCAGTGCACAAGTTGGCATTGGCGCCCCCGGAATGTCTGAGTATGTGAAGATACCGTCGAATAAAACACAGCGCAATACCCCTGGAGAAGGCCATTGAAGTTCCGTTGTTTAATCACTGAAAGAACTGAAAGACCAACCAACCCGTACTCGAGATGTCATCACACACCGCAGCACCGACACGAGAAAGTCACGCTCCTCGTGTCGAACTCCATGGAGCCATCGTGGCGATCATCAAAAATTTCCGCACTTAGTCAGAGAGGACTATGGCGACAAGATTTCGGGAGGTCGCCTGAAGAGTTATGCATGGTCGGCGTTGAGGATATTGAGGATTGTTGGAACAGAGAGTGACGACGACGAGGACATATATACTGCGGCGAATGAATCGGAACAAATCGCCGTCGCCATAGCAGCATCACTCAGAACCGCGAATTCTCTGGCTAACGACGGTAGCCGTTTGGGCCACGATCATCGTTTGTGTCCTTGTCGAAAGCATGTCGAGCTGGCGCGAATATCTTTAATGTTGGGGAAGAAATTCTGGGTGCCTCTCATCAACGGACAATATACTGGCGCAGGGCCGTCGGAACTCTCGCTCCTCCGGACATTCTTTCTGTCGCCACAAAGGCCGCATGTTGTGTTCCTCGAATTCGAGGTCGTGTCAAAAAGAGCCAGCCGAGCCAGCCCGGTGGCCAGGTTCCCAAGGTGATAGTTGAGCTTCATGACAAACGGTTATCGCTGGAACGCGACATCGATGCGAAGGGAATTTTCGTGGACGGAGATGGCGACTAAGGACCAGGAGCACCCTACTGCGTGGAGTCCCTCGAAAGGTTCGACCGTTGTCTCCTTATTCGAGGCTCAGAGTGGTGAGGGTGACGATTTTTAGGATTTAGATTAGTAAGATCGAGGGAAGAGACGTGCGAGTAAAGAATGTGATTTCTTCAACTTGGCTGAAGGGATAAATCTGAGTCTGAGATGGAGCAGAGTTTGGTTGGTCTTTTCTTGGTTATACTGGCTGTTCTGCGTCTAGGCTCGGGCGGAGAGTAGACAGGGCATTCTCGTCGAGGCTATGTCTGGAAATCCTTTCGTCATAGTCTCGAAATCGACGACCGAGTATTGTAGCAGCTACTTCACCTTCGTCGGGACATGGCAGCATAGAAGGAGGTATCCTGGGCGTTCAGTGTCTAGCCGTTTCCCGTAGTTCCCATCATGGTAGGATCAGCGGGACATTGTAATTGCTCCGTGGCGGACAGTCCATCTGCGCTCCAGCTGGGGCTTTGCCCTAAAGGGCTGTCCTTTGACCGGTGTAATTAACATCCTTGGGCGCAGAGGGAGCAACGCCACCCGAAGCACATCTCCTTGCGCCCTGAACTCTCGAGGAAGGTGCACTAGCTCGATACCCAACCTCCCTGTCCCTGTATATCTCTGGCTTGATACATGCAGACAGAAGACGCTGTACTAGCCTGGCCATCATACATGGCGCGAACGATTGAGGCCAATGTTTAGGGGGCCCAAGCCTTCAGCATCATGCTCGACATCGTCACACCGGTTTCTCCTTGACTCACGACTAACCATCGCCACGGTCGCCTTTTGGATCCTGTCAGCCTCATGTCCATCCGCGTGACACAACGCAGCACTTATCCAAATCTCTTGCACGAAGTCGCTCCGATACAAAATTGCTTACGGTTGTTTCAACCGTTGTAGCCATCCGCAGGAGGGTCGAAGTACGCATTAATTATGTCTGTTTTTTTCAATGACAATATTCACCTTCCATCATGGCAGACCGGCTTTCGGATGGACGACATACATTGCCGGTACTGGATCGCCCAACAAGAACAACTGGCGAGATCAAATAACCTTATGGCGTTATCGCAGAGGAGAGAGGAGGCCCGTATTCAGATAGGTTTCCAGGAAGTATCTGTTCAGGGTTTAGAGGAATACAAACGGCTGTTTAGGCTTGTCTTCCAGGACATTAAATCGCGTCAGATTAAGAAAGCCAGCAACGAGCTTCTCGAGGGATCTTGGCGGCTAGTCAATTCCGTAACAGCTTTAGGTAAGTCTGATCGACTTTAGTGAAACGCAGAGTTGATGTAAGCGGTCTCTAGGTCTACACGAGGACGTCGACGACGAGACGAAACGTAATGAGCGGCTTGAATTCTGGAGAGACTTCAATCTCTGCTGGGAAGCACTTGGGCAACGACAGAAAGAAATCACCCAAATGGCCTTGAAGACTGGAATATGGCCTGGGGATATGCTTTCAACGGACATAATCACCAGTTTGGGGGACCAATTGGTGGCCATGTGTGATATACTGCAAACGCATGGGTTGGTCGATTATGAGATGGGTATTTGGGAAGAACAAATAACCCATATTTTCATTGAGTGCATCGATCTCCTTGCTCGGAATCGCCCCAAATCTCGAGAATTTTAATGTCGGGAGGAGATATAGTAGTGCTTAATCACCTCGCTCTGCTTGTACAGCCATTTTTGGTCAACGACTGGTTGTTCTCCTTCAGATTCCGGATTTCTTTGATGAATCTTTGGAGGGTTGGCTTTATATGGTTTCTGGGTCTGAGAAGGAGATTCTGGGTCGCCTTCCGTGAAGTGAGAGCCTGTTCTAGGGTCGAAAGAGTTAGCGGTAGCTTTTTCTTGAAGAGATATTTTCTAGGGTTCGACATACTTCATCGTGTCCGTGATCTGACCGTTTAATGAGGTACCGCTACTGCTCATGCTGGGATTAATTTGCAATACCGTCTGTTCCACACGTACCTCAAGAGGTGTATTTCACTATCAAAAACGGCCGGCGATGTGAGTGACTTCCTTTGACCTTTAAATATAGGACTGAGAAGGCAACGCCTTGAGCCTGGTTCTGCGGAGAGGCTGATGGAAATTGATGTCCTGATTGGGTGCGAACAAATAAACCGGTGTCAAAGGATATAGCGCGGCAGCATGCTTTTCCCGGTATTCAAGCCGCATCCACAGCCCCCCAACCGCACAACGTAGTAGACGAATAGTACTTCCCTTTCCCTCTAAGGCCAGAGAGGGAGCAAGGCAGATCGAAAAGGGGATATGTTGCTTCGCCAATCAGATCGTATACCGAGCGAGGGAGAAAGACTGGAAAATCGAACTAGGCAGAGAGTATGTGGGAATTAAATGACGCATTTTGGATGTCGAGGCTAGGCATTTCTCTCCGCGCCGCGAAGATAAATCATCAAGATGGACAGATGGGGCGTCTATCTTCTGATCTCTTGGGGTTCGAGATAGAGAGACCGAGGACACGAGTGTGTGTAATCGCAATAGGAATTGGAAAATATCTTCATCGATAAACATTCAACATACCACGTAATACGCGGTAGACGATCATCGATCACTTAGATTAGCTCAAGATCGAGGCAGGAGACATTCGAGTCAAGGAAGAGATGTTCTTCAACCCGGCGGAAGGGATAGGTTTGACTCTCCGGTGTAGAAGCTCCTGCATTGGTCTTGGGCTCCTTTCGAGTCTGATTGGAGCCCTGGCTTTCCTGTGTCCAGCATCATTTTTGTGGGCGTAGAGACAGGCGTTCTCGCCATTAGGTCTTGTGTCGCTGTAGGAAGTAGAAGCTTCGTGTAGCCCAGGACCATGATAGTTCGACCGCATCGTTGGACGGCCCTCCAAGTTCGGGTCGTTCGCGGTGTCGCGGTGGAAAGGGCCGGGGCTCCTTCATCGGTGGGCGGTTGATGTTCAAGCACCCCAAGCGGGCCATTTGGGTCAATAACTGTCTCTCAATTGAATGCCCACGGCAGTTGTTTCTTCCATAAGCACCTCCCCGGAGTTTCAGATATAGGAGAAATAGACGTAGACAGAAATAGTTGTAGGCGAGGTGAGGGATCGAATCAGCGTCGCAGACTGCGCCAGAGTCTTGGAAGATGCTGCGGGACACATTCAGAATGGTGGCCTGGGGGTTTCGGAGGGCGTGATTGAGGGGGAACCTAATCCGGGGTCCTGTGGTCAAAAATATGAGAGGTATCATAGATATTCCCGTCGGTGAAAATAGTGTTGGAATCATCACACGTCTCAAGAATTTCGACTTCTGGAGAACTGGGAGCAGTTTCATCGGGCGGCAGCCGGAAGACTTCGTTGCTGCCCGGTCACCGACATTATGCCTTAATGATATGATCCCAAAGAACAGACAATCCAACAAGCTGGCTTCTGGGCGAAGCATCCAAATGCGCCAGTCCCACAGTCAACCAAAACTAGATTCCAAGTTCTTTGCAGTCCTGGGGAGAGGCTTCAGAAGCAGATTTGGCCGAGGACCGATTGGGGGACTAGGCTCCTTAAAAAGATCCCATGGGAGCCCTCTCTTTTCCGTTCCCACTCTCACTGCCTCTCCCGTTCCTTTGGCTCTGGGCCTAGCTCGATTCGAGTATTCTCTTCCGCGTTCCATGTGCTCTAATCCCTTGGCCCTCGAGAGCTGGGTCCATTCAGCCCTTGTGTCCAGTCTAGATGTGATCTCAGATTTCGATCAGGGGTTTTCGAGGTAGCGGGGTTCGATCGCAGTCGTGTTGCTGTCGTGGAAAAGTCCTCATTACCGCGGCCGAGTCACACGTACATTGTGTTGGTCTCCTCCCCTCTCTCTGCACACCGTCTGTTTTTAGTGGGTCTGCAGGGAAGAAGGGCCGCGCGTGCGCTCGCGCTCCCTCTCCCTCTCCCCCAGTTGACTCAGCTCCCCCTGCCTAATAAGTAGTCACAGCATCGTAAACGGCCAACCCGGTCCCACGCTTTTTGACTTCCTGTTAGGCGGAATTCGAGCCTGGTAATGATTCAATAGCCAATAATGTTGCTCTCCCCGAGTCGTTCCTCAAAGTTCGCGCTGTGAACGAGGCGCCGCGGCGGGAGACCGTGCGCCTTCGTTATCCCACTGTCTCGGTTGTCTGCAGACCAATCCGTGAGGCATTTCTGCCATTGGGTCAATGATCAAGCACCTCACTCGACCCCCGAGGAGAAGTAGGATTCTGGCAATGTAGGCCGTCTGAGTAGGGCCGGCTCTACTCGACCAGTCGACTCTACCGTGGAGGGGAGATTGAGGGGGAGGGATGGGTGTTAGGTGTCATTCATCCCGAAGTCGTGGGCCTCCTCGGCCAGAACCATGCCATCGCTATAGAGTCTGCAGGCAGAGTCACGAAGTGGTCCTAGCTTTCATGACAATGTGGGCAGAATATTGCGCCAGGACGAGGCGCTCAGGTAGTGCAGAATAGCAGTCTTGAACGATAGCCGGTCCAAAATCAGAGGAGGCTAACTGCAGGTCGATTCGGGGGGTAGAGGATCGACGAGATCGAGAGTTAAAGGAGGGGGAGGTCGGTGGCCGGTCGGCCAGCTTGGTTTATCGTGAGAACGAAGGTCACTGGTAGGAGGGAAACACCGGTGAAAGTTGGAGCTCTTTCTATCAGAACAAGTCGTTTGTTAATTGTCGAGCAGTTACCCGAAGTTGGGACGAGGGGAATGCGCAAACAATCTCAGGAAATCCTGAGAAGTTCAAAATGTGCGAAAGCGGCGAGGAGCCGTGTCCTCAATAAATCCCATTGACTGTTTCCCCCCCCCCCCCGTGCGCGCATACAGGATGTATCATAGGTTCCGCTGATAATCACCACCACAGCTGCTTTACTCGTAGAGGCAGAGTCAGTTCACCAAACTAGCCCCGGGGAGCAGTCTCGGCAGCGCTGCTTTGGAACATTATCACCAGTTCATTGGATGAACTTCCTGGCTAAGTGATCGGTTAGTCGGCAAGGTCATGAAGCCAATCAGAGTCTCTAGCAGGAGTCTCCACCGGGGTGAGCCAGGCCAGGGTTGCACCGCCCCGGTGCCAAGGTGCACGGACCATCGGCCCCCACGCCTGGTGAGACACGGGTGATCACTCACCCGGCTCGCGCGAGCCGGGGGTGAGCACAGGGCGGCATCACCTTATTCCCAAAGCGGGGTGAGCCGGCTGCAGGTTTCCCTTTTCTTGGCGAAACAACTACACGAGAGGCAGTAGTCACACACTCTCCTTTTTGTCCTCCGTGTTCCATTCTATTGTCATGACGATGGCGAGGCAGAAATAGTGACGAGGAGCACATCTTTCTCATAGGGAACCCCACCTTCCATTCAGGGTCGGATGAGCTCCTACCGCTCGGTCAAATTGGTGCAAGCTATTGTCACGGAGGTGGTCTTAAGTTCAACGTAAAGAGTCTTTCTGATATTTCCTGGTGCGGGAGAGGAGTTGGTTAGGTGATTGGCATAAACACGAAATATTCATACCAGCTGGTGTCCACAAAACAAAAGAAAAAGGAGAAAAGAAGAAGAAAATCTTATCCGTCTCCAACGTCAACGGGCATTCAACAGTTAACAATCATCCAAAGACACCAAGGAAAGACGAGATAAGCCGAGGATCGCTGCAGCTTTCCAACATCCTTGGAAACAGGGACTACTTGGAACCTCTGTCAGAATTGTCAATTGTTGACAGAATATTAACAACCAGGATCTGTGAAGGAGAAAACTGCGGAGGAATGTTTCAGAGGTCTAGCAGAAGGTTGAGGTGTTGTGAATGCAGCTGGATATCTACCTTGGCTGAATGTTCTTTCTTCTTCACCGAAGGTCATGAGACCGAACGAGGGTGTTGAGTCTACCACATTGTCTTCGGCTTACTTTACATCCTCAAATCCGCAGGGCTACTGTCCTCCATGCTCGCCCAGCCAGGGACGCCGAAAAGAGATTTGATGAGGTCCCTCGTCCTCTTGTTCCCCTTGATATCCGTCAAGTCACGGCCGCCATTCTAAGAAGCATTGGAAATTCAGCGAACGATCACTCGTCTCAAGAGACACTCAAATTAATGTCAGTCAACTCCAAGGATCACACTTCGCGGCGGGAAAGGCGCCCAACCAATGCGGGATATCTGAATTCTGGAACACAGAAGAAAGGGTGACATATTTGGAGGCTTCAGAATGCAGTCATCATCAATCTCCACAATTACTGGACAGTACTGGTATATTGGCTTCTTCAATGCCCGTCACAAAATCCCCAAGCACCGGATGTTCACGCCAGACCAATGCGGCTCCGTCTGCCCTGCCGTCGACAAGGACTTTTAAGCGAGCATCAGCAGCAAGCTCACCATCACCAGCGCAGCGGCAGTCCTCGTGACAAGTCCCTGGCCCTGGGCACCTCTCTCCACGCCAGCACTTTGAGCGACTGACGCGGTGGTCGATTCTGGGGGCGGCACCACCTCGATGCTGGTGAATAGGTCCGGCGTCGTGGAGGTTGATGTCACGGTCACCGTGATGACCGCCGATGTAGTCAGAGTTGGTGGCGCTTCCGTGCTGGAAGGCTGTGTCGGTGGGATCTCAGTCGTAGTTGGAACCGGCGGTGGAGTCTCGATGGGGGCCAGCGACAGCGACGGCGTGGGTGTGGGCGTGGGAGTCGGCGTGGGAGTCGGCGTGGGAGTCGGCGTGGGAGTCGACGCAGGAGTTGTCGACCCGCTGGCCCCAACTGTTGCCACAGAAGCCAGTGTGCTTCCTGCTGTGGCCTTGCAATCGTCTGGGTCGAGTGTCACGGACGATCCGTCTGTGTCTACCAACACGGTACACGAAACATCGCTACAACAGACGCCGTCGGTACCGCAGAAACCGCAGGTCAGGCCGATCGCGCAGCCGCCACCCGCGCTATCGTCGCAGCAAACATCCCCGGCAGGAACAGCACTTCCACCAGCGCAGCAGACAGCATTTGCACCAACATAGCAACCATCTGGGTTTGGGCGGACTAGTCAGCGAAAGCGGACAGAAGAACACCGAAAGCAAAACTTGGACTCTGAAATGTGTTTTGGCCATACCACGACAAAGCGTATCGCCTGATGTGCAATCATCTCGTCTGACCAGGGTGTCGAAGAGCAGCAAATCGGCCCTGAGTTGGCTGGAGTTTCGCACGCTGCGGCGGGAATTCTCCCGGGCAAGGTCGATGCGGTATAGAGGCTGGAAGTGGGTGGCGAGGACGACAGTGGACAGGAAAGCGAGCAGCAGCGGAAATGGCGAGTTCACACATGCCATCTTCTCAGGCAGGCGGGCAGATATGAAGAGATGAAACTACCCAAGGGTTCTGGTTCGACAAAAAAAACCAGATAGAGCGAGGGATTCCGTTTGCTCGAGTTGTCTCGAAACACCAGGAGCAGCTGTCTTTCTCTCGAACCCATTTTTTTTGCGGGACGACGCGCCGTATATGATGAGTCGCTTCGCCATTGCCTCGAGCCTCGAAGGTGGCCGTGGTGCTAGCAGCACGAATGCGCTCAACCTCCCTTCGACCTGGGCGACGGGATGAACACGAAGGGGCTGAAGCTAGGTACATACATACACGGGGCAATGACCCGATACAAATTCAACATCCACCAACAATATGAAGGTCAGAAGGCCCAGGGCCCAGCCTTACGCCGTGCGAGCTTGAGAAAGCTTTCACGGCTTAGTGATTCTTGTCTCAGCCTTGGCGCTGCTTCAGCCGAGCGCAAGACCAAGCAAGACGAGTTGAACTTTCATGTATCCAATCAAGCGAGTTGCAAAGCTTTGCAGCGTTCAGCTTCAGCCCACACGTGGTACGATGGTTAGCCGAAGAGTGAAAACAGAGTCTAGAACCCCGAGAGGGAAGCCTCCCTGTATCTGTCTTTTCTCTTAGCGAGGATAATGCATCCTCACACAAGCACCGTGGGACCAGGCGCGACCTCGGCTCAGCCTTACCGTCTGTTAGAACAATGGCAAGAGAAGCGAGTCAAAATGTAGGATTAGGTAAGTACTTGCAACAGAGTGGTATGAATAATAATAATAGTAGAGTGGAATCCCCCTATATGAAGTCAAGCGAGATCCCCACTATAGGGGCACCAGGATCCAGCCTGGGGATCAAGAAGCATTCTCGGTACCCAGTATACTGTATTAAACACGGCCCTCACCGGTGCCGAGCCCGGCTCTTGGGTTGGGTTCCTTGCAGCTCCACAGTAAGGGTCCTTCAGAGCTACAGTAGCTTGCCTCCGGAGTACCTCGTAGGCTGGTTCGGGATACTCTTCGTCGTAATGGCACTTGACAAATGTCCCTTCCGGCACGTATCTCCGCATCATTCCAGCGTACGTGCAAGTCCAACCATATGTACAGGGTACGAGGGGTATCACTCGATCCAGATAGACACCTCAACGGCGTGAGGTCACGGGGTAAGCGGCGAGGTTGAACGTTTACAGCTGGCGATGTTCAACAGCCTCCCCACCTGTCAAACTTCGGGCCTTTGTATTTCGGATGCCCATTGTCCACGTATTTCAGGTGAGACATCCACAGTCAAAAGGCCTGCAGTCAAAACCTCCTTCTTACTGCGAGAAGGTACCTAAGACGTGGACTCCAAACAGTAGGGAGCAGCGTACTCTCATTCAGAGAAACATTATTCCAGAGTCCGGGGATTCTCCATATGGAATCTAAGTCTGCTTTCTTTTTCTGCGTCCATACGCACAAGCCGCTTTGCTCTTCTTTCCACTGCACTCTCCTCTTTACCACGCATTCGCCTTCAACCCCAACCCCGTAAGACGATCCTATTGAGCGTCGATTGGTCGGAACAACACCACCTCATACACCATGAATCGGTTGATGAAGGCATCACCTAAATCGTTGCATCCTCGGGATTTCGCCGTTGCGGGTTGAGATTGTTCTAATAAAGGGGTCACCGAGTTCTCCATTTGGACAAGCTTCTCGTTCAAGTACGATTCTTACTTACGCTTTTAACCTCAACCGTAAAGTAACCAAATAGCCTCGCTCTCATCTTTCCTCGTAAATCGTCCTTTGAGGAGTCTTAACTTGCGCTTCCATTGCCGATATGACAAAATCCTTCCCGCCTCATGTGAGATGCCGAGCAACTTTTTGAAATAGCAACCACCAACCACAACCTTGCGCCGACTCGCGAGACCAAGAAGGATACTCGTTGTCAGTCAATACCGGAAGAGACGCGGATTTCCTTCAAGTGCTGACATGACTCGCTGTCGTTGCGCGCGAGGAGAGTCTTGAGGTGATTCCAAGCAAATTATCTTTATGGGACTGACTGTATACGCACCTGCCAATGTCAGTCGAAAATGGTATTGGCACTGGTAATGGTGTTGGAGAAAGCTGCTCCTGAACGGCTTATTACGCAAATGACACGGCAATTCTTTGAATCCGAGCACGGTCTATCGACACGAGGACAACCAGTCAGTCAGGCAAACCCGGGCTTTCGCTTGCAAGCCAGTGATGGCAATGGCACGAACGATCTCCCTGTTTTCAGGCTCGAGCATCGAACAGTGCCCGTTCATATGATGAGTGCGCCTCTTCCCCAACCCTTCTGTTCTCTGTTTCCATCTTCTAATGATCAAGGTTTACATGAAGCGCTGGTCAGTTAGGCAATGGGATCTGCACATATCGACCAGCGCAGCCTCCTTGGCCTAGCAGAGTCTATTGCTTCCAGCGCAAAGACCATTGTGGACATCCTGAAAGGACAGAAACTCCCACAACCATCTTTCTTGCCCTGCAGCCCCATGAAATACCCTGAAAATCCGGAGTTCGCCAAGCTGCAAGACGCGCGGATGAACCTCATCACTTCGGCTTGGGCAATTGAACAGTTTGCCGCCGGCCCACAAGATTATGTCTACTGGCAGGCCTACACGGTATGCGGCGATGGTGAGGAGGTGCATTTTAGTTATCTCACTGCTTGTAGATTAAGCATGATCTCACCGTCCTCAATGCTTTCGCAAAATTTGGCATTTTCGACGCGGTGCCACCAGATGGCGATATCTCTTATGCGGATCTCGCACGAAAAGTCCCCCTGACCGAGAGACAACTCCGGCGGCTCTTCCGACATGCCATGACCAAGAACATATTCTTTGAACCCCGCCCTGACCACGTCGCTCACACAGCTCTCTCAATGGCCCCGGTCAAGAATCCGACACTCAAACCCTGGATCCATCACAATCTTGGAGAAGTTCTACCTGCCAGTTCACGCTTGGCGGATGCTGTGGAAAAGTATGGCGATACGCAAGATCCGACGCAAACCGCGCTCAGCATGGCCTGGAACCTGGGGAAAGGGAAAAGCTTGTTCGACTGGCTCGAGAACGATGGTGAGGGGCCCGAGAGAGGCTGGCGTGCTCGTCTATTTGCCCAAGCTATGCAAGCCATGGACGGTGGTGGCCATGACAGAAGATACACTATTCAAGGGTTCAATTGGGAGGGCCTTGGTGGAGCTACTGTCGTCGATGTGAGTATTGGTTAGCTGCAAATCGTCAATGTCTTGTCTAACCACCTGCATAGGTTGGCGGATCTAGTGGATTCATCTCCATGTCGCTGGCTGAGAAGTTTCCTGCTCTTCGATTTGTTGTCCAAGACTTGCCCGAGGTCGAGGATGCTTTCAATGCACTCATCCCCACGGACCTCAGATCGCGGGTCACATTCCAGCGATACGATTTTATGACTCCCCAACCCCAGTACAGCGCCGACGTGTTCCTCCTAAGGCATGTTCTACATGACTGGACTGATGCCATTGCCATCAAAATCCTACGGAACCTCATCAATGGCCCAGGCGGAACTATGAAGGACGGCGCGAGAATCATTGTTTCGGACAATGTGATGCCTCCGATGGGAGTCATCCCTCCGCCGTTGGAACGTCTTACTACAACGGCCGACCTGCAAATGTGGACGGTGACGAATGCTCTTGAGCGGAGAAAGGATGATTGGATTGACCTGTTCAAGCAAGCGGATGAGAGGCTAGAGACTGTGGCGTTTGTACAACCTGAAGGCAGCTCGGATACGGTCATTGAGGTTGTCTTCCACGACAAATAGACTTGTCCAAAAGAGGAACCCTCCTTCGATGCACAGCATCGACGACGTTTGTTTGGGAAATTTTAAAGAGGTCGATTCTACCAGTGTGGGAATGATGCATTCAACATCCTCCGCGAGGGCTATCTCACAGCTGCCGAGATATCAGATTGCACAATATCTGAGTGTCATGAAAGCCAAAATACCCGAATGTCACCTACGTAGGCCTGATTTGGAGAGTGTCAGGGGGGAAAGACCTCGGGTCTAGGTTCAACATCTATTGTCGTATCATTTTTAGGGGCGACAAAGGATGGGGCGGGCACGTGTCACGTCAGAAATTATTCTTTGTGGTGAAGCTTAAGAATGCCAACTGTGGCAATCGGATCTCGAGCATCATGATGCGTCTACAAAATCATGAAAAGCAGAAGGGTGATGTAAGGGAGTGAGATCGCAGGGGTAATGGAGGGTGTGACAGATCTGACTGCCAAGTGACAAGGCTGCCGGCCTCACTGAAGTTCAGCCTTGCGGTCGCCTCCCGTCCATATCCAGGCTTTTGCGGCTTATTGACCACAGAGCAAGAATGTCACCTAGATTATTTCTAACCAGTCGTGTCTCAATCGCCCGCGCGTAACCTTGTCCTACCTCTCCCAAGTATCCTCCGTCACTTGGCGCCCCGTCACACGACAAGGCAGTCATCAACACCTGAGGACGTATACTGAAATTTGTGAGTGAAAAGAAGGAGAGCGAAGAAGAAAGTCGCCATTGTTGAACAAAGGGACACGTCCGCGTGACACTCTGGCACTCTACCATGGTCCATGAGGCGTCTCTTCACTTGTTCGACGTGCATGTGAACAAACATTGCCTGCGACTTCCTTTCCTCGTCCAGCCTTTCCTTTCCGACCGCAAACTACAAGAACTCAATCAACCTTCGAACCGCTCCTGCTTCATCCTGCTGGTTGGTCGATACGCCTTAGTTGTTCTCTTCCTCTCGCGGACCTCGACTTCTCTTCATCCTCCACCCGCAACGACCTCACCACATCTTCTGTTCTGCGTCCCTGTGCATCCTTCCGCGGTTGGTCAAGTGTATTGACATTCACACCAATATCCAGACACAGCCGACACAGACAATATCTCACACTCCGTTCATTCACCATGCCTGGTGAAGGCGCTGTCCACCTTGCGGCCACGACCGATGTCGCCCGCGTCGAAGCACCGGTTACTTTGAGGGCCTACCTGATGTGCGCCTTTGCGGCCTTCGGGGGCATTTTCTTTGGGTATGACTCGGGCTATATCAACGGCGTGATGGCGATGAAATTTTTCATTCATGAATTCACTGGCGAGCCGTATCCCGAGGCAGATGCGACGGCCGCAGAGACTGCGGCTTTTGTCATCCCTTCGTGGCGCCAGTCCCTGATCGTGTCAATCCTGTCTTGTGGTACCTTCTTCGGTGCAAGTAGGGCGTCCCTGAGTCTTATTTTCTATATCAAGCACTGACTTCGTCTTTCCAGTCATTGCCGGTGACCTCGCCGACTTCATTGGTCGTCGAACCACCGTCATTGCCGGTTGCGTCGTGTTCTGCGTCGGCGCCGCCCTCCAGACTGCTGCCACAGCTTACGGTCTTCTCATCGCCGGTCGTCTCATAGCTGGATTCGGTGTTGGTTTTGTGTCCGCCATAATCATATTGTACATGTCGGAAATCTCCCCCCGCAAGGTCCGGTAAGTCTCGCTAAAGGCTCACAAGTTTTGGCTCGGGTGTCCAGTGCTGATGAACAACGCAGTGGCGCTCTTGTTTCCGGGTACCAATTCTGTATCACTCTCGGTCTGCTGTTGGCGTCGTGCGTTGTCTACGGCACCGAAAATTATACCGACTCTGGTTCATACCGAATTCCCATTGCTCTCCAAATGCTCTGGGCGATTATATTGGCCGCAGGACTGCTCACCTTGCCCGAATCTCCACGATATTTTGTCAAACGCGGCAACCTAGACAAAGCAACCAACGCTCTTGCTCGTCTCCGAGGCCAGCCTCGCGTGTCCGAGCTGATCCAGCAGGAGCTGGCAGAGATCGTCGCCAATCATGAGTATGAGCTGCGAGTCATTCCCCAAGGGGGCTACTTTGCCAGTTGGGCCAGCTGCTTCAAAGGCAGTCTCTTCAAACCGAGCTCGAACCTGCGTCGAACGATTTTGGGTACTTCTCTGCAGATGATGCAGCAGTGGACAGGAGTCAATTTCATCTTTTACTTGTAAGTCGCCTTTGGCAACTTTGCCTGTTTCTTGCAGGAGAGCATCCTCCAAGGCTTTGTCGGCTGTCCGATGCTAACGGTAATCTAGTGGCACCACTTTCTTCACCCAGCTCGGAACTATTCAGAACCCCTTCCTGATTTCTCTAATCACAACTCTCGTGAATGTCTGTTCAACTCCGCTATCTTTCTGGATCATTGAGCGATTCGGTCGTCGTTCAATCATGATCTGGGGTGCTGTCGGTATGGTCGTGTGCCAGTTCGTCGTCGCAATCGCTGGAACTTCCGACGGCCACAATCCGCAGACTGTCAAGGCTGAGATTGCATTTATCTGCATTTACATCTTCTTTTTCGCAACTACGTGGGGACCCGGGGCCTGGGTGGTGATTGGAGAAGTGTTTCCTCTCCCTATCCGGTCTCGTGGAGTCGGGCTGTCCACCGCCTCGAATTGGCTCTGGAACTGTGTAAGTGAAATATCCGTTTTTGTTTGGTGGCGTCCAGTAACATAGTTCACGTTACAGATCATCGCCGTCATCACACCGTACATGGTGAGTTCTGATAAAGGTAACCTTGGACCCAAGGTGTTCTTTATCTGGGGTTCCCTATGCGGGTGTTGCCTTGTCTATGCCTATTTCCTCATCCCTGAAACCAAAGGTCTTACCCTAGAACAAGTCGACCGGATGTTGGAAGAGACGACTCCGCGGACATCGTCGCGATGGACACCGAAGAGGACATATGCGGCCGAGATGGGAGTTACTGAGGATGGTGAACTCAAGTCAGAGGGCGTTGAAGGTATCCAGTGCAAAGGCTCTGCTGTGTAAGCATCATGCGAATCCCGGGTCAGGGAGCTACGTTCATGGCAAATCAGACACGTCCCCGGGGGCAGACAACAAGCAGCAAGAAAAAGTCAAGAATGTGGGAAATGGCGGCAAAACTTCGGCCGCCGCTCGCTCCCTACTATTACGGCCTGGTGAGGCTGTGCAAGGCTGTGCACGTGGCTTGTTACATGTTTCTTGCTCTGACCATTCCACATCTGTCGGTAGAGAATTACTTGGTACACACTGCGCATTGTTCAATTTGACATTAGCAAGAACACAATGAAATAACGTGGAAATTGAACATTCGATTCCGTCCCACGTGCAATAGCAGAGCCTCTCCGAGCATTCTCAGCTTCTTTGTAGCATCTCCATACAAAAGACTTCATCTTTGGCTCTTTCCTGCTGCTAGCCAGTGCCAATTCCTACATGAGCAACATGGCGGGTAATCCTCGTCCCACTTCTACTCCTGAAGACATCCGAAGCGTGGACAATTTCTCAATGGCTGGTAAGGAAACTACGAAGGAGCCACTCGGCCGTGTTAGAGACTTACATACCCACTTTCTGGTTAGAGGCTGAGCATCAAGACCTCAAAGAGGATGGCATTGCTCATTTCTCGTCTTCATCGAGACTTCAAGCCGCCGAGCTGCTGTTACAATGGAAATCTCGAGCGAATCAGGGTGGCCCAAAAGACTTCCTTAATGCTTTCTGCTGGGAAGAGGATGCCTTGAACGACCCTGCTTTTGATGCAGGTGGCAATGTTGCTCTGAAAGCATATCTTGAAGAACAATTCATTTCTGGGTTTCGGGTCTCCGCTACTGCACCTAGGAGTCAATGGGTCATGTCACTCTTTACCGGGGAATCAAAGCTTCATGTAAGACTTCCCGCATCGGAGAAACACGTCAAACTAATTCCCACCCACCCAGCCAGCAGAGGTCTCAGGTGCTTCCAAGGATCCAAATCTACAGCTCCTGGGCATCCCCCGCGAGATCCGAGACAAGATTGTCCGGTATGTCTTGGTGGGTGAAGAGGAAATCCCTTTACGCTTCAGGAGCTATGCTTTCGCGGAGAGATCGTCTGACACTTTTGGACTGAACCGCAAAATGGATGACACGGTCCGTAAACATGATCGCACGGTCACGCAGATGTGGAAACCCGACGGACAGGTCCACGCCCTAGGTCTGCTCTTCACTTGCCGCCAACTGTACGAAGAGGGGCGTGTGATATTCTACGGTGAGAACGTGTGGGTCGACACGAGTGCTGGGGACTTCCCAACATTCTATTCGGAAGGGAATTCCTACATGTCCAGAAGCAACGCGGCGTTAGTGAAAAAGGCGAGGTTGCAACGCTGTCTGTCCTTCCCAGATGGTCTGGATGGGAGGCTCGACGCGTTCACCCCGTTTGCCTGCAACTGGCTTCCAAACCTCCAAAAGCTCCGGCTCAGATTTTATGTATTTAAGGCTTCGCCATCAGACCCTTCGACGATCTACGCCTTCGTGAAAGAGAGATTTCTGATGACCGCTGCCGACATGACACAAAACCACCCAACCTTGAAGAAAGCGATCTGGAACACTGATAGTCTTGCTCCCTACAAATTTTCTCTCAATTTCGGCGCCGAGCTAACGGTCCCTGGTTACAGCGATGAAGAGCTGTTCAAGGTTCGGACGGAGGAGATTGACGAAGAGGGACGCCGGCATTTCATTCCCAAGGTATGTTAGGGACGCTTCTCTGGCAGGAGTGCCACAGCTTCCTTTGGCGCTCCTAGTGTGCTAAATGTTCCCCCACACTATTGGCGAGAAAGGGACGATTGGAACAAAAATGGAGCTAATACTTCTTTTTCATTTCATAGAACCTCATCTTGGACTGTCAGAAGATCCGCCAGACTGACCGGGCCGATCTATCACGCCTACAACCCTGGGACCTTGCCCTTCCGGAGACAGCGACCTCGTCTGAGCCGCTCGCGTGAAGATAGGGGATCCCTTCGCCATTAAGCAATCTCCAATGCGGGAAGAGCATTATCTTCCAAATGACTAAAATTTGGCATGAGGGCAGGGAAACAGTTCTAGCTATTGCCGCACCACTTGGACATCGCCCGATAGCTTGTCCGGGGTTGAGCCATGGCGCTTCGTTTGGTACAGGGGGTAAAGCAATATGAATCTGTCGGTAGTTCATGATACAGCCCCGTTTGTCTATATCCTAGTTCTCTATGGGCGTTCAAGATCAGAGAGCCCCAAACTCAAACTGGCGAGAGGAAAAAAAATAATCGCCCAATAAAAGAACATCTATAATTTCGCCTTGGTCCACGGCTCGCCCACCAAGGTCAAACCGGTCACGTTCTCCAGCTCTCTGACGGCATCCTTGGATTTGCCCAGCACCACCCTGATCGTCCTAATGCCCAGGCTCTTGGCCGTCTTGAGGTTCTCGCCGATGTCGTCCAGAAACACAATGTCCTGCGGCCTGATGTCGCTGCCCCATTTGTCGCGGATCAGCTGCAGCGCGTGCTCGTAGATGTCGCGGTTGGGTTTCCTCATGCCGACGTGGGCGCTGGACACGAAGATCTCAAACACCTGGCGCACGTCGTCGGGCGAGGGGTCGTTGAACGGATGGCCCTCCGGGTAAACGGTCGTATTTGACAGGGCGGCGAGCTTGTACCGGCCGTCGGCTTTCAGCTTGAGCAGTGCCGGGTACATCCACGGGTCCGGGTTGCGCGAGTGGCTCATCATGGTCCAGTACAGGGCCTCGGCGTCGATGTCCGGCACGGGCGGCAGCTTTGAGGCGTCCGTGAGCGAGAGCTTGTCGCGGTGGAATTGCGCCCACAGGTCCGGACGCTGCAGGTCGGCCTTGAACAGGCGAAAGTACTCTGCGTTGTTCGGGATTTCGCCCCGTTCCAGCTTGTGCCAGGCTCCGTTGGGCGTCAGCGCCCGGATTGAGTAGTTGATGTAGCCGGTGGGAATGCCCTGCTTGATCTCGTAGTCGAGGATGGCTTGGAAGGGGGATTGGACCTAGGGCGTGGAAAAGGTCAATACACCCTCTCAGACATACGGCGCTGTCGAGATATAAATTTCCCATTGGCTGTTTTGTTTCTCTCTTTCTTCTCTCTTCTTTCTTCTTTCTCCAGCGTATTGATCCGTCAACCGCGACGGGATCCGGTGGGCATCCAAGCATATTAAACAGCAAGCCGAGGGATTAAAACAGAAAACAGCGAGCTGGAAACTTACGCAAACACCTCCAATATCAAACATGAGCACTCTAGGACGAGATTGCAAGGCCATGATGACGAGAAGCCAAAATCTATCGCAGTGAGAGGGAGAGGGAGAGACTAAAGGAAAAGGAGACTCAACGGAACGCAATTAGTATGAGAGCCACATCAGATCTGATGCATGGTATCTAGATGATGTATCTGAGAAGGCAAAAGACCGGCTCATGCTCTCGCTTGTTCCTTTGGAGATGGCCGAAGCCGCTTCAAGAAATGAGCCGAGGTCATTGATGCTGAACGGCGCGGCCTTCCGAGAGAAAGACTGAAATAACGATGGGTTCGCTTGTGGTATTTGTGCTCCACACTACTGGCTAAAGTGCCCGTGGTTGAGCGCGGTCTTGGCGCGGTGTGTACCCAGTACTCGGGCTCGTCGGTAACTGGAGAAAGAGAGAGCCGGCGACGGCAGCTTCTACTGCAGAGTATTTGTCCGAGACGCGCTCTGCAAGTCTGTAGCGCGTCGCGGGGTCAATGGACAAAATACGCAGCAGCAACAAGAAACCACCTCAACCGATACAAGACACTCTTTTTGAACATGGACGAACCGTCAATCACGGCGCTCAAAGCAGCCTTCATCCGCTCGCAGGTCCGCCACCTGGAAACCCCCCTGGAACCGCCGACTCAATGGCAGGATCTCCTCCCCGAGCCCGCAGAAGGCCGTCTCACCGACAAAATGATCCAGGATCTCGTTTCGAAAGGTAATACAATACAGATGCATTTGTCCTAAAGAACAACAACAATTGAACATCCCCCGGCTGCCCATGAAATAAGCTGAATAGTGACTTGGCGATGTTATTGTTTGACACGTTTTTCGCTGACGAAACTCGCGCAATAAACATTTTGCAGTCAACGACAAAATCAAACGGCACAACCGCCTCATCTTCTCCACGCAGTCCCAGCGCCACGTCGCCGAGCAGATCGAGTCGTTGTACTGGACGCTCGTGTCCGCGGACGACGCGGAGCGCGGCGCAGACCCCGACCTCGACACGGTCGCAATCCGTAGGGACGCCGACCTCACCGACTCGGAAGTCATCGCGTCTTTGCCGCAGGACTATGACGGCGGCCTCCATCTACACCCGGACCACAGACCTCGGGAGCGGGAAGGGCGAGAGGGACCAGGGGGTGCGGAACGTGAAGAACGGTACACCCGCATGCGCGAAGAACTGCTGTCGCTCAGCCAGCAGAGAGATGCGTTGAAAGGGAAACTTACACAGTATCGACATTTGCAGCAGTTGATGGAGCCGCTGCGCGAGCCGCAAGAGAACATTCAGCCAAACCTGGTCACAAGGGACGGTGAGTTGAGCCAAGAATTAGCCCGCGTGAGGGTTCTGCTGGCGAGAGTGACGGCACAAGTTGGTGAGATGGGGAAAACGACGAGGCCTCGCGAAGAGGGGCAGCCAAAAGCCGCCCAGACAGATCAACAGAAATTGGCACGAGTCATGGGATGGGGCGAAGTCGGCTGAAGACCATCTCAGACAATCATACCAACCCAAGTTCGGCCTATATAAGTACATCAGCCACCCTCCTTGTGTCAAAGCACTCTTAGACACCCAGGACGCCGTGACAAAACATGTTACCGCCTCGATCCCGGTGTCAAATTTATTCATTCATCATCAGCCTCCTCCACCGTTGGGGCAACATGTCGTTTAGCTGCGGTCGACGTGGCAGCAGGCTCAACTGCAGACGTGACGGTGGCACCATTCGAGGGCGGCACCACCGCCGGAGCCGTATTTTTCTCACCTCCACCACCAGCGGCAGCGGCAGCGGCTAGCTTTTTCTGAGCTTTCCTGGCCTTCTTCTCCTTCTTCTTTCGCTTGATATCCTCCTTCGTTTCATGCCAGCCCCACAGCGGCCGGAAACTATCGAAGAAGCCCACATCTTCAAAGAGGTTGGGATATAGCCATAGTCCAGGTGGGACAAGGAAGAAGGTGATGATAAAGAGGATCAGGCGGAAGATAGCCATGGCAAAGAACAAACCAATCAGCCCCATCATGCCGACCGAAAGGTACCACACGCCCTGTCTCAATACGAGCGGCCAGAGCGGGAAGAGAACTGCTGCGAAGACCAAGACAACAACCAATGCTGCCCACAGTTTAGTCTTCCACTGCGATCCCTCATACAACCAGACGTAATGCATCATAGGGTCAAAATCCTGCTGTTGCTCGATCTTGACTTCCCACAACCCCTTGACTCGTTTCTCTTTCTTGGGTTTGGGGTGGTTGTGTCCCTCATGTGGATCCTTTTTGGAAACCCGCAAAGCGAGCATCGAGAGGGGGAGGAGTTGCAGGGCTGCACGGGCATCCACGTCATTCTCGACTTTGGGCAATAAGGGCTCCTTCTTTTGGGCCTTCTTGTAGGTGTCGGAGTTCAGGGCACGGAATGCACGTTTGACTGTACAGGGTCATGGTCAGCGGTGAACGATGGTATGGGACGAATCATTATGTCATACCTTTGAACATATCCTTCCTCTCGCTATTCAAGATACATGTTCTAGTTTTCAAATCCTGGGAACGTAGAAACTTCGCGACTGCCAGCGCCTCGGGTTTAGCCTCGACCTTCGCATTCAACGGGATATGTTGGGCCTGCTGCCCGGGCGGCGGTCCTCGTGGTTGTCCTTGTGCTTGCCCGCCCTGTGCCTGTTGTTGCTGCTGAGCCGCTTGTTGCTGGCGCATGAACTGCTGTCTAGCCTCTTCCTGCTTCATCTGCACAAACTGCTGAGGGGTCATTCCCGCTTTGGCGGCTTCGGCCTCGATCTGTTGTCGTTGGAAGGCTTGAAATTGAGGTATGGTCATTCCGCGCTTTTGGGCTTCCATGGCAATCAATTGTTGGATTTGTTGCGGGCTGAAGGGTTGGGCGCCCGGCGGAGGGCCGCCTGGGGATGCCATGGTTGCAAGGGTCAGGTAGCGGAGAGGATTGCGAAAGAGTGAGGGAAGTGGGTGTGCGTGTGAATGATCGGTTCGATGTGTTAGGCTTCTACAAAGGTATAATTCAATCTGGCTCGAGAGAAGCGAAAGTCGTCGGTGTACTGACAGAGGGTGACTTGGGCACTTGGAGAAGACACGGTTTGCGATGAGACCAAAGTGAGAGGCGCCAAAAATTCCCATGAACAAGCATTTGCACCATTTGTCCCTGCGCCTACGCTGGCGCCACTGACTTCAGCCTCGTCGCCAAGACCGTGGCTGTGCAGTATCTTATGGCTGAACCTCGTCGCCATCCTCGCGCGACTTGCACAACATCCACAACGATCGCGGTATTCAGCATTCCGGGTTCACAGAGGAATTCACTAATATTGATATGTACTTGACCTTGATGTACAGGAGGATCACGTCTCTGTTTGCAGGATAAGGGGTCTTTCCGCGACGAAATTCTATCGCCATTGTCAACTTGACTCCAACCCGTCTTTGCTCCTTTCCTCATTGCTGGAAGAAGTGGACTACCTCAAACCCCTTCAACATGTCAAGACGCCGCTCTGACCGATGACGACGCTCCAATACCAACCTGATCCGGCGGCGGAACCGGATGACCACTGGGGGACTGTGTTCCTAGTGAGTTTCCAGCTTCAAGGCTCTAAATGCTCGTTTCCACTGATTGATCCAGTCTATGCGAGATGCGTCAGGGCAAATCCCCATTAATTACATAACATATCCAGGAGTTTACGTTACAGAAGCCTGCTTTGCCAATGGAGTCTACGATGACCTCCCGACTCAAACATGTATTTCGGATCTGTTTGCAAGCCAGTTCCGCCGTTTGATCATTGATCTATACTGGGACAACATCAATCGCCAATTCAGTCTGTGTCCAGTCGAGCTTCCGCCGCTGGTAGGCAATGCGACTGCTGGTTACAGCGTGGATACGTCGGCTCTATATTCAATCACGGCGTCGACTTCCCTTACCACTCCTCTTCCAACCCCCACAGCAGGGTCAAATGCAACGGTGTCTCTTGCTCCTCCTCTCGAAAAGCGGCAGTCTTCGTCACCCTTGGTCGGCAACTCTACGTCGCTGATTGCCACGACCACTCCCACAAGCAGCCGTAGTACCACAATTTCCACGAGCGATGTGGCCATCCCAACCTCAACTGGTGTTACAGGTGGAACTTTACTCCAATTGGGACCTTACATGTGTAGCCTGGATTTGAACATCGGTGCCGTCATTTCCTTGTACACTGATTACTTTGACCAAACCTCAGACACCATCTCGGCACGATTACAGTTCCTTGACATCAAGTTACACGCCGCGGCGCCATTCACCAATCCTTCCTCGCCTGCACAGACACCAATGCCGGGCCGACTGCCTCGTTCTGATGAGCTTATAGGAGCCCAGTTTGAAGCTGCGCTCAGCAGGAATATATACACTCCTCAAAACTTACAAGATGATCGAAAAGATCTGAACAAGTCGTGGTTCCGTGATGATTACAAAGTACCCACAGATGCAAATTACTTTCGTACGGTGGAAGCAGAAAAGGACGGCATCGTTTCAACACCAGACGGCTGGCCTGGACAAAACTGGATCCTCCTCACTGACAGCCGAAGGCTCCTACTGAGCTGGGATGAAATCGATCCACAGATGGCAGAGTATGACTTTGTGAGCGAGTCGAGCAACGTCTTCAACGCGAGCGAGCTGATTCCAACTCCGCCTGTCGAGTGGAGCGACAGCGGGGAGGTGACCTCAGGCTGCTATTACCATTCAGGTGAAACGACTGTCGCTCAGACCAATGCATCTTGGGCGGTTGCAGCCATCCAGGACACGAGCTCAAATGCTCTCCCCATCCTTGCCGAAGACTTAACGGCATGCGGCTTCTCGTCCATCATGAAAATGACGCTTGGCAGTTCGTCCGTTCAGAACAATTTGATCTCCTACCAGAGTTTTGCACAATCAACGGTGTTTGGATGGGCTCCAGGAGAGCCACGAAATACGACTTCAGCCAACGGCAAGAACACAAATGACGACCTTCGGTGTGCAGTGATCGACGCAACTAGCCGATACCAGGGACGTTGGCGGTTGGAGTCGTGCCAGAAATCACGGAGAGCTGCATGTCGCATTGCAGGCCAACCATATGCATGGCGTCTTTCCACGTTCGATGTTCCATATAGTGCGGCTCCAGATGCATGTCCAGAAGATACCTCGTTCGACCTCCCGAGGACGGGGCTTGAAAACACATACTTGCACCGGCAGATATTGAACGACACGAATCCGCGAGATGATGGTTCAGACGGGATCTTGTCAGGTGTCTGGATCAATTTTAACTCTCTAGACCAAGCCAACTGCTGGGTGCTCGGCGGTCCCAATGCAACATGCCCTTACTCCGACTTTAAGCAGGAAGAACAGCAGAGACAGATCCTCATTCCGACGATAGCGGCACTGATCATCCTGATACTGAGCGTATTGACGATCCTGGTCAAATGTAACCAGAACCGAAGGAATAGCAGAACGCGGAGAAGAGGAGATAATGGGTGGGAGTACGAGGGCATTCCGTCCTGAGGGCCCAGAGCAACACTGAATATTCATTTTACACTTGACATGTGATTAATGCTGTGTCTTTCCTCGTTGGGTCTCCACTCTCCATTCTCCATCAATGTCGCCATCGACCGAGTGCCCGCCCCATACTGTGTCGGATCAACTCTGCTCCGCTTTAGCGATTTTCGGCGACTTTTCATCAAGAAATGACAAGGCGATGACTCAGCGGCGAGGTGCCTTTGTACCCCTGGCGTCTCCACCGGGCGTAGCCTTGCCTTACACTCGCCCTGTTGACAAACCAGTATCAGGACAGTCGGCATTGATGTCTTGCTGGATTTCAAACCGAAGAACTAACCAAGCTTCCGACCACGGAATCTACAATGCGGAGACATACGAGACAGGCCCTTGACCAATCCACAGCGGAATTTAGCTCTGCAACGGAATGTTGGGAGATTGTATTTTCGAGTCTACAGCACCGACACTGTCAGATACGAAGCATGTCCGCGGGCGGAAGCTGACGGTTGGGAATATAATAAGGGACTCGACTCTGTAGGAGAAGAGCTTTTTCTCTTCCTCCCTCCATCTCAAGCCGATCACACCATTTCGCGAAGCAACTCCGACATCCGCAACCAGCTACAGACACGGGAAGCAACTCCACATCCCCATTGAATCCAGACCAGCCCCACATTTCACATATCAGGATACTTAGATATCGTCTTATTCTGCCCGCTGTCGTGTGTCCACAGACAAGCACTCTTTCAGATTGTTCAGAGGAGAATCACCAACACTGGTCTTCCGCTACAGTGCACATTATGGCCCCTCTAAAAGTCGCCGTCGCCGGAGCTACAGGAAACCTCGGCCTCCCGGTCGTCAACGCACTTGTTGCGGCCAACTACCCCATCACCGTGCTGACCCGCAAGGGGAGCAACAGCGCCTCCAAACTCCCCCAGTCCAGCAACATCACAATCAAAGAAGTCGATTACAGCTCCATACCCGAACTCACAGCAGCTCTTGAAGGGGTCAAAGTGGTGGTCTCCACCCTCGCAACCACCAGCGTGGGCGAACAGAATCCTCTAATCGACGCTTCCGTCGCCGCCGGGGTGGAAAGATTCCTCCCATCCGAGTTTGGCAGTGATACATGTAACCCGAAGACCGCTGCTCTCCCGGTATTCAAGTACAAAGTCGCAACGCAAGACTACCTCAAGGCGAAGGTCAAGGAGAACCCTAATTTCAGCTACACGTTGGTGATCACTGGGCCCTTTTTCGACTGGGGTCTCCAGCATGGCTTCGTCTTGAATCCGGCCAAACACTCTGGCACGCTATACAACGGCGGCGATGCGAAGTTCTCGACCACGACGCTGAAATCGATTGGTCAAGCAGTGGTCGGAGTCATTGAACATCTCGCCGAGACCGCCAACCGCCCGGTGTACGTGAACGACACGGTCACCACGCAGAACAAACTGATCGCCTACGCAAAGGAGAAGGACGGGAAAGACTGGGATGCACCTGTGAAGATGACGAAGGTGCTGTACCAGGAGAGCATGGACGAGTTGACCAAGGGCGGAGACATCGGCAAGGCCATGGTCGGGTTCATTCTGAGCGGGATCTTTGGCGGCGAGGAGACCGGCGGCAGTTTCGAGGGCAGGACGGACAACGAGTTGCTGGGCCTCAAGGGCTTGAGTGAACAGGAAGTCAAGGAGATTGTCCAGAGCAACGTGTAAGTCATGGAAGTTCCTTTCTTCATTGAGGATGACGACAACGACATTGCTCCCCCGAGAAGAAGAGGTTTACTCTCCAAAGAAGTCGAAAGGGTCTGCAGACAGGAGAAATAGGATGCGGCAGAAGGAGATAGATAGGAGTCCAGTAGTAGTTAACAACTCAGACAGACAGGCAGAGAAAACGAAGACGGATGCCAAATTGTGAATGGATCTCAAAAGCAAGGAGAGAAAACAAAGCGTTTCATTTGTGTTAACATCAAAAATGATTCATTCTTATCATAATCCCATGAAGACGGACACACGAGGTACTCGCCCGCCCGGCCGCCCCGAATGCTGCGTTTCGACAATTATTGTAAAATAGACCAAAAAAAGCATCCAAGATGAATAAAATAACTAGCTACTAGACCTTCCCCCCCCCCCTCTTCGGGCAAGAAACGTACGTCGATTTGCAGGGGTTCCAGTCCCTCAGATTCATATGGCGGCCGCCCTTTGGGCCTTGAGTAACGTGTGCTGTGCCTCCAAACAAATGTATCCAGAGAGCATGGGCTAGGGCAAAACAAAACGACAAATTGACAAGAAGAAAGAGACAGTTAAATCCAGATCAGGCCATCCTCGTCGACGCAAGCCATCGCTGCTGCTACTGGCCTTAAGCAGACCCTCCTCCTCCCTTCCTCCCGTCCGTGCCGGAGCTCAGGGTATTTCTCCGGGTCATAGGCGCAAGGATATGCTACTATGAACGGCGTACCAGGGCTCGTCATTGTCTTTGCCGTCGTCATTGTTGTGTTTTTTATCGTCGTCGTCCTATGCAGCAGCAACATCCCACAGCCGTTTGATTGGTTATTCACCCTTCTTTCTGGATCTATGGCGAATGACGGCCGCGTAGGTCGCTGAGGCGGATACGTGCTTTGCGCCGACTTGGCCTTGCTAATGCTCCTGTTCTTGCTCTTATCCTCGCTCGCGGCGCCCAGACGCTTGGTTTTCGGTCCTGAACAATTCTTGTCTCGACGTCCTGTTGCAGGACTCACGGGCAGGTACAAGTCGAGAATCTCGTCAATGTCTGTGTGGAGTCGGTCCGTGCCCTTTTCTTTTTCATTTTCTCGCTGTTCCCTTTTTCCGACTCTGCCCTCTTGGTATAGTGATCCCGCACAACCGCAGTCTTGATTCGAACAAGCGTCGTGGTCATCGCAGCAGATGGAGGGCAAGGGCGGCAAAGCCTTTTCTTTAGATCTTCTACTAGAGGGCCCAGTGAATGGCCTGGATTCGACCTGTCTTTCCTTTTTTGCTGCGGCTGCATCGCCTTCTCCTTCAGCATCGCAGTAGATAGTGGACCAAGACGACTGAAGTGATTTTGACTCTGGAAATTGGTCGCTCAGAACACAAAGAAGGTCACAGTTACTGCGGCTCCGTGGAGCCTCGTTCTCTCCTTTGGTGGCAGTGGCTGGCGGTGCAGCTCTCAGGTGCCGCTGCGTTAACCTCAAGGGTCGTGGCACTAGTGGCATTGAGTCCGAATGAAAGGACGGGCATGCGTTCACTCTTATTGCAGGCTCGAGACTCGCCGAGGGTTCCTGGTCCGATGTAAATGGGCCAGTGAAGACTTGATGAGGTCGTTTATTCTGACATTTGGACTTGTGTGGGCTCGAATCGTCGTCGTGGCTTTTGCCCTCGTCACTGTATTGAGTCGGAAACGACAGATGAGGGTCGGGAAGGGGTCGAAGCGAAGACATCCAGTATCGAATAGGATCGGAAGAAGCCAAGTCAGCTTCCAACCCTGCGCTCCAGTGTGTATGTTTACCAACTTCGGCATTAAGGGCACCCACAGCGGCCTGCTCGACAGCGTCAGTGGGTGGATGCAGGGAGGCTGCATGTTCTTTTTCGTGCTCGAGCGCAGATGCTTCCTCCAGTTTTTTACATCTGACAATTTCCTCGCCATTGCTCTGACTGTACACACTCCGGTCGTCACCTGCGCCAGCGTCTGACGAATTATTGCTGAACTGATCCTCCGCCCATTGTTTGGGGATGACCTTGCTCCAGCCGTCGGGATGGGTTCGAGCAAATGTTAGACCTCTCTTGTCCGGATCTAGATCGACCAACTGCTGCTTTCTGCGAGGCTCGGCTTCCCATTCTGAAGGAGGAACTGGCGGAAGATCCGAGAGGTATCCATCCTTGAAGGGATCTCCCGACCCGTGTTGAGGCTTCGGCTGGAATGATCTTTGACCACACAAAGACTCTGGCCGGAGAGGAATCGGCGGGCTGATTTTCACCTTCCTTTTTGTAGTGACATCTGGAGCCGACGGCCACCGACAAGGTTTTGCAACAGCCTCTTTGTGGGTTTCAACTATTTGTGAATGAGATTCAGCACGGTATCTCTTAGATCGAAACAGGGGCCATGATAAGATCGAATTCTTTCGCTGCAAGCCTTCTGTCGGTCGGCGATTAGGATTGATCGTCGACGTCCTTGATAGTGGCCTGTGGTGGGATGTACGCCAGCTTTGAGGGGAGTTTTGCGTGGCCGGCGTAGCTGTTGAGCTTTTACAGCGACGTGATAGTGAGAGAGCCATGATTCTGGAGTCCCATGAGAGCAGGGTGAGGTCTCACTGAATCGGCTTTGATGATTTGGAGTTGAAGGGGGATCCATAGATGCACCTCAGAGATCTTCCTCGGGTCAGTTTCCAAAGCCATACATACCAAAATCAAATTCAAGTAGCCAATATTTCGTGGATCCGTTTGTCCAAGCAGAGCAATCAGAGGTGATGAGGTCGGAAAACGGTTGTGGTTGTCGTGGCTTCACCAACCCGCCGTCACTGGTTCGAGAACCTCTAGAAAAGCATGACATGCGGACAGCCCGTGACACGTCGACGACCTGAGCAATCCTTGTGTCAAAATTGGTGGTTGACGTGCTAACATGTGAGAAGGAGCCATATTTGCAAAGGCTTCGTGTCATGGCGCATCTGCTGCAGTGAAGCGCGGACCAGAGAGATTAGTGAAGCATAAGCCAACTTCTTTTTTCCTTGACCCCGCAGATAGGGAGCTCCTGCTTTGATTTACCAGTAGATCATTGATCAGGTTTGACCCCTGTAATATGAAACAGTTTCGTTTGCAGAATAGACTCCGTTGAGATCTCGACACCGGCTGAAAAAAGAGCGTCATGAAAAAGACAAAATAGCCTGCTTTCAGGCCGGAATGCTATTGGCAGGGTAGACATCAATATATACTTTCGATCTGGATTGTGGTGACAGACGCATAAGCTAATCAGAAAGTCAAAGTTTTGCTTTGAGCCACGACTTGATGGCCTGTCCTTGCTCGGTTTCAGCAGTGTCATTAAACCGCAAGTGGATGATGGGGGCAATATGTGCCTCATTCTGCCCAACCACATGAGTGATGGAGTCTGGATTGACGGACTTTCGAGATGCAGGGTTAGCACGTTTCACTGAAGGAGCTGGTGGCGCTCAACCCAGGAGACGAATAGAGACACGCACCTTATACTTTTCCACCCATGCACCAATCGAGTCATGGAGGATCTCATTCCCTCCGGATACAACCAGAAAATGCTCAACCTTGGCATCTTTCCACCACTCCGCTGGAGCGGTGAGCGGCTCTGCGAAGGGTGTCGTTGGCTGTCCCGCAAGGTAATCACCCGACCACTTTCCGCCAGCATGGGTGGTGACAATGTCCCTGTGGCGGTTCCTTTTCTCGCTCTCCCAGTCTAGGTTGAAGCTCGTCCATGGGGCCACGGCCATAATACCTTTGAGCTTCTCTCCATCAGCCAATTTGAGCTCGGGGAACTCGGAATATGGGTGCATGATTTGCGACAAAACTCCGAGGCACATGTTCCCGCCAGCGGAGTCGCCAGCGAGCATGATTTCCGATGCTGGTCGCTTCAGATCTTCCATGACGTATTTGACTGCTTCGATGGCTTCGTAGATTGGCTTCGGATAAGTGGCGTGCGGTACGAGAGAGTATTCAAGGAACAAGAATGCGATTGAGACGTTGTTGGCCTTGAGATCGTTCTGGACACCGTGCCAGAACTTAATATGGGTGTCATCACCATCGAGGGAGAAACCTCCTCCTATTGAAATATCTGTTAATTGTTGAATTGGTCCAGACAAGGATTATGCTTACCGTGATAATATACACAGACATAGTTGGCAGTGCTCGGGTCGCCCACCCAGAATGCTTTGCATCCCGACTTCAAAGTTACAAATTCCGGTGTAACGCCAGCATCTTTACACCACTTCTCGTAGATCGTTGAGAACGGGGCGCCTATATATCTGCGTCTGTAAGCCGAGTTTCGGGCCAAATGTCGACGCGCACTCACTGTAATTGAAGCGTGCTGAACCTTTTCATCATCTGACCGTCTGAGTGACAATGCATAGACCTGGAGCTTGACCTGCCTACCTTTCGCACGACGGCATAACTGATATGCTGCTTGTACGTATGAGCTCCTGAATCACCACGGAAAGGGGCAGCCACCGCTGTATATACGGCTGTCCCGACTGGTGTTTTTTTATTAGCCGCAAGGGAAAATTGAACACCTAAAGTGAGACTCACCGAGCGACAGAAGCCCCGGGAAAACATCCAACTTTTCCAGGAGAGACACTTGATGGATAGGCGCAGAGAGCGCCTGGTCGGCCGTGGGAGGGGCTGTCATGTTGACTTTTGACAAACGTAACGAACTGTCGAGACAGAGGGTTCTGGCTCGGCCGTTGCTCACAGTCCCTGGCTGGCAAGGCTATTGATATATGTGAGAAAAGAGCACTTCGGCAAGTGGATATTTGATTGCTCACTGTGCAAGACTGGTCGAAGCACCAGGTGAATGTGAATGAAGGAGGCGTCAGACAGCCTGAAGGAACGTTATCAAGCGAGAGTTGGTGCTGCCCTGGCTTCTCGGCCGTCTTACCTTACGTGGGGTCTGGGGGCGGGACAGCCTGAAGGATGCAGGAACAAGAGCGAGTAGGAGGGAGTCTGGTTCTTACCTTATGCGGGAATCGTCAGCCACTTCTGCTTCAAGTGGAATAGACCATGCTTGGACAATGGCAGCGGAGGAACTTGATAGCCGTGCTGTGGAATATCGGCCGCAGCCTTTGCCCAGCCTTGTTGACGGCCGTGATGCCGAGGTACTTCTGCAATAGGCATAGCGTTGGCGGTTGTTTAGACTACGTTGCCACCTGCCGCGTCTTTGACTTCAGATCGACTTAAAATGCACAACGATAATATATATATATATGTATATCGTCTTCAACCTGTCGACGTCAACCCTTCTTGAAGAGCAAGTCCTGGGTTCTGACTGCGCACCAAGTCGAGATTGCCCACCGTCACCCCAGTCTGTGCTTGACAACGACCATGTTTCCTGGGAGGAAGACACCAATGGCGCTACTCAAAGTGAGGCTCAATGATACCTACCTGCTCAGACTCCAACCAAGGGTCGAAAACTGCAAGGTGAAGGATCTCTCGCATGCGGTCCTGTCTTGGTCAAATACGGTGTTAGGTGAAGACTGAAAGAAAAGACAGACCACCAAGGAAAAGCAAAGCAAAGCAGAGGCAGCTTGCTGTTGAAGAGACACCTTTGTCAGTCGCCATCAGGAGAAATGCGTGACCCAGACAATGGGGAGACTCGGCTCACGTATGTCCAAGCCGTGTCGTTATTTCATTGAGCCTCATTCAGACGCGAACAAAACGGGAAAAGAGAGACAAGCCGCAGTCTTAAGCACCGCTATAGTACTTTGAACCACCTGACTGCATCAGCCGCATCTCAAGCCGCGACAGCAAACACTAGCTTCTCCCAACGCAACAATCTTTCCCTTTTGAGGCGGCAGATCTTGTCATCCAAAACATTCGATCACGCAGAGCACGGACGAACCACTTCTTAGCCTCAGAACCTTGGTGTAGCTTCTAGCTCGAATACAGCATCCACCGAACGCATCCATAAACCAATCCATAATCCTTCATCTTGACCACATCCATCATGGCCAGTCCGACTCCAAACAGCGATCCCTCCAAATCCGCACCCTCCTCGCCAAAGAAAGGGCACGAAACACGTCGCGAATCTGCCTCGGGAGCCACTGCAACCAAGACAACTGATGCCTTCGACGCTCCGGTTTCTCCTAGAAAAGCCAAATCCTACGGTGATCTGTTGAACACTCCGAGTGTCAAACACGGCTCCATCGCCGCCTGGGGCAGCACCTCGGGAAAACTCTACCTCTCTGACCCGCGACTTGACGACCCGAAATCCAGGAGCGGTCTCTCCGACTATTTCTTCGGCTGGGCCAAGGGGAAGAACGAGGCCACCGAGCAAGGAGACGCCACGAAGGAGAAGAACGCCGATGGTGAAGAAAAGGGTAATGATGTCGAATGAACGTAGTCGAATGGGGTGAGTCTGAACACCGAAGTCGAGTTCTAGACAAATCGGACTAACGGACTCTCAGCTTCCAGCTGCTCTCGCTCTCAATCTCTCTCTCGCGGGAGAGTGAGAGAGGGGCCGTGTGCTTTCAGTTACTACGTCTCCACCACATCCAGCAACTTCACAGGCAAACCTGGCAAAATAGCAAGAGGAGTCAGTTACATGCAGAATCAGATCTGAAGGGTGTTCGTTGTTCCCCTGGCATCTTTTCGACTGTGGAAAGGGAGGCTCGCTGATCGTTGCTGGGGTAAACGGAGCTCATGCATGTATGGATACGGCCGTCTATGGATGGGCGAAATGAACCTGAGAAAAAAAAGTCACCCAAAAACAGAAAGAGAAAAAAAAAAAGCGAGCATGCTGCTACTCAGACAAATGATATCGTGATCAAAAACCCAAAGAAAAAGGGTTCTATCTGCTTGTTTCCTTGTTTACAGGCTGCGCCCGCCGTGCATTCATTCATTCCACGTTGCTGTTGCCGCCTCTAGGTAGTGACCGAGTAACAAAGCAGGCATAGTATTCGTGCCATCATCAGAAACCCCGGAGACATCGTTCTCATGCATACTAGACTGCTCGGATGAGAACGTCTTCGGCGTCATCTCTCATAAGGCTTGGATCTCGTCTTCACTTGGCAAATGGTCCAGACTGGACCTTGCTTGAAGGACCGCTAAGCGGCACAGAGGTATAGGAGCAATCGTACAAATGGTGTCCTTTTGTTGCGGAAATCTTTGGTGTGCCCGTTTTCCTCCCTGTTACACCAAAACATATCGTAGTAATCGTTCGTCTCGGTCCTATGAAGAGCAGGCAACAAAATCGCCTCTTGACGCCCCCAATTGCGCTGAACATTGCTAGCGCAGACGATTTGATGTCCACCCACTCTATTGGACTACTTGACTGTTCACAGCCTGAGCTTGCTCCACCGTCAAGGGCTTATCTCCCATTTCGGTCTCCTGGTTATCGATATTATGATAGTCGAGGATTTCCGAGTACATCATGATCTTCCAGGTATCAACAGGAAGGTCAGCATCATTGAATGACCAGTCGAACTTCTCGTCTGCGACTGGCTCGTCGGTTGGGTCGTGATATGGAGAAAGGTACTCGTGCTCCAAGCCACCAGCTGCAGACACTCGTTTCTTGGGGTCGAACACCAACATTTTCTCGAGAAGATCGACGGCGGAAGGATCGGCATTCTTGAATTTCGCACTCAAGGGCTGCCGTTCTCTTTTGGGGAGAGACTGGACAAATCTGAGGGTATTTTCGCTGCAGATTGTCTCGATCACATCCTGGGGAGGCGTCCCGAGCAGCTCGGTAATAATAGAGAATTGGTTGACATGATCCTTGCCTGGGAATAAAGGTTTCCCTTCCAACATTTCAGCAAAGATACAGCCAGCGCTCCAGATGTCCACCTCCACGTCGTACTTCTGCCAGGTAAGCATGATTTCGGGAGCTCGGTAGTACCGGGTCGAGACGTAGCCCGTCATTTGAGGGTCCTGAATTCGAGCCAAACCAAAATCGCAGATTTTGAGGTCGCAATTTTCATTGACCAGGATATTGCTCGGTTTCAGGTCTCGGTGGACGACACCAGCCGAATGAACGTATTTCAGGCCGCGCTGCAGGTGACAGGGTTAGAGGTCGAAGCATCGGAAAGCGTATCCGGTTGGTATACATACTAGAATTTGATAGAGAAAGTACTGGATGAACTGCTTCTCGAGCGGTCTCGATGTCAAGAGGCGATGGAGATCAGTGCCCAAGAGTTCGGTCACGAAGTAGCTGCATTCAATATCAGCGTTGGGTGTCTCGCTTGAGATATAGATGGTTCCGCATACATGTCTTCAAGCGGGGAAATGAAGATGTCGCTGAGAGATATGACCTGATGGTTCAGTACCCTGACAAGGTAGTTCGGGGTTCTTTTGGCTCACATTTTCATGTCGAAGATGTTTCAGCAGTTTGAGTTCTCGATAGGTACGCTTCGCGAGCACAGGTGTCGAGAAGGGTTTCATAATCTTTTTAACCGCCACCGACTGGCCCGTCAATTGATCTTTGGCAGAACTTGGGGGTTGTTAGCTGCGGGTGGTTCTGGATATGGGAAATCTCAAACGGTGCTCACCAGACAAGACCGAAGGCTCCCATGCCGACGGGTTGCAAGTCTGTGTACCTGGCTTCCGGTCAACTCTGCTTCTCTTGCTTCAGACTCCGTTTCTTCGCCTACCTGCTGGTGATCTCAAAGGTTGTCCCAAATATTTGGGCTCGCACGAACTCCGCCATCTCGAAAGGAAGTCCAACGGAGCAGAGGCCAGACTCGGGCAAGAGATGAAGGGAGGTGTCTGGACCGCGAAAGTGTAAGCCGTCGTGAAGAGATCGCGACGTGGGTGCGGGACGAGAAGAAGAACGATGGCCGACTCAGCGAAGGGCAAGGGAACGAGGAGGCACGGTAGAAGTGAAGACGACGCCTCGAGAACAGGTGTGGCGGATTGGAGTTCTGGGAACGTTTCAGCTATTCTGGGGGATCGCAGTTGGTGAAGAGGATGGGAGACAGGTCTGCGGCGGATGAAAAGCACGAACCTGAAAGCCTGAGTGGCGCTACTGATGGTTATTGTAACGTCGACGAGGCTTGAGAAAATATTGTATGGTACTAGTGACTGTGGCCAATGTCACTCACTTCCTACAAAGACTCCATGTGGTGGTGAATGCTGGATACTGGCATGCGAGAAGAGCAGAACGGCAGGGAGCAGCAGCAGCAGCAGCAGCAGCCAACGTGGGGCAGACCAGTTTCCCACCACCCCTTCAACGTTCGGCGCGGCTGGGCCACTTCTGGTAACAGTTCTGGTTACTAAGTCAAGGTTGGCGGCCCCTAGCAAGCCCCCAAGCCCCCAACAAGCAACTGCTAACGGCGTCCTTCGTTAAGTGGCTTGAGAATCGGCCTTTTGGCTGTGAAAATGCCTGATGCCCGTTTGTGGAAGATGACGATTGCAATCACCCATCAGCGGCCGGTCCTTCAGCCCCCCTCCAAGCAACCTTCTTCCTGCGAACAGCTTCTTGCTATCATCCAACAGTTGCCCCTCCATCTTTGACACTCCTCCGTCGATTCCATCTCATCCAATCCCTTCCCAACCCTTCCGTGCTCCGGTGGTACATTCTTCCGTCGACCCATACCCGGAGATATCATCCCATCCTGCTGTCCCTTTCGGCATGGCCCAGACACTGCCAACGATGCCAGCAGCGATTTCGATTCGCACTTCTCCCAAAACACCCGTGGTGCCCCGACCGCCACAGGTTAGTCAGATCTCTCCCTTTCGATTCCAGTCGATATTCTCGATCCATATGCTGCTGAGAGCGAAAGCTGCAGCGCAAACAAATCGAGCCAGTCGCGGACCCTGTTAATAATTGATGATCTCACCTGCCATGTTCTTCCAGTAGGAGCCACCAGCCAAGGGAGCACAGTCTCAATTGCGAGGTTCGTGCCTGCGATAGAGGGCCAATTTTTGGCGTTGGTCCCGTTCGAGAAATCACTGGGCCGAAGACTCTTGTCCGCTCAACGACCGGTGGAAAGCTCGATGCTTCTTGGGAGTATCCTGAGCAGCGTCAGCAGGCCTTTCTTCCTACCAAGAACAGTTTGAGAGATATTTTCTCGTGCGATGAGCCCCTAAAACTTCAACGAGACATTCATTCATCTTGCCCGTGCCGATAATGAACGAGACTGCATGCGCCAAGTCGATATTCTCAGACTCTTTTCCGAATGGCAACCCATTGCCCAGCAAACTAACTGACTCCTTTAGGTCGTAAGGCGTTCTCGATTGACACCACGCCATCGTGACAGAGAAAGAGATATTCAAGCCAGTCTAGAGGTTCCGCGCAAGGCGCCCCGTCTGTCTCATCGTCTGGTATTTGCTAGTAAACTGGAATGACTTTGGAGGCATCTGGCATTTGGGAACCTCTGGTAAGTTGCATTCATGGCGGCACAAAAATATAGAGAGCTCAGGGCGATGAATAGCCAAAGGCATGACTATCGACACGTTTCCAGTTCAACCATGTGATGTGCAAATCTCGACACTTTTTACGGTTCCTACCAGTCCGAGGATAGCTCAGTTCCTCGGTGCAGACGCAGGTGAAGTTTGATAAAGTCTCGGACACAGTTGCTGGCCTCGGTCTGACACTACGCGCCTCGGAAGATTTTTGGAGCTCGTGGTCAAGACCGTGGCGGTGGCTCATGGTTTTGTCGGAGCCTGCCGCTCGACTTCTTGGAAGACAAAAGGCTCCTTATAGGGAAGGTTTTGAACCTGACAAATACCCTGATTCAAATTTTGAGAGCAAAGGACAGGTGACAGTCAACGAGATCTGATCAGGCACGATAGTTGACTTGGCTTAGTATTTGAATGTCTGTCTTTTGCAATCAGAGCTGAAACACCAACTATATTGGTTTCGCTGGCGAATGACGGAGTTTCCTTCTTGGATTCTTAGGCACATTCCTGTAAAGAAGAAAAGGACAGAATAAGACATCAACGGGAGATTCGGCACAGAAGAAAACGAAAGTCCGCAACAGTGTAACCCAGACCGGCAGCGGGTCGGAAATTTACCATCTCGCCATGAAATTTTGGCTCATGACGGTTTAGGGAGGATTGCTTCTGCTGTAATAAAAAGATGGCCATTGACGACGTCATGTTGAAGATCTGAGTACTGGGTACACAGGTCTGCCCGTCTGCCATGTGCTGGTATGCTGACCTTACAAATCTCCAGCTAAGCTTGGTCAAGCCAGGCGTTGTCAAGCGATGAGGCTGCCGGTCGGACTGGAGGATTGAAATGGGCCGGTGGACATGGTTTTGATCTGGATGGTCATGGTATCGAGGTGTACCTCGTACGGAGTACGGTGAAAGTCTTGACACCATAAAACGTCGTGCGACATGATGGTTTCTTTTGGCTCAGGAACCATCAGTCCTCGGTGGGCATGGCCATGTGGCAGACCCTGGCATTTTTAAAGACCTTGGTAGCGATGCTGCCTTTCTGGAGGGTGGAGATGTCTGATATGGAACGCAATGTCTAACAAGTAGAGAATCTCTGAGATAGAAAGCGGGCAGTCGGTGGACTCCCTACATCCTAAGTAATATTCACGGCTCTTTGTGCAGAGTACATCTACCGACGAGGAGAATGAAAATGTATTGTTGCTACATATACAGCAGACAGTGGGCATGTAGATTGAGAAATGTTATGTAAATACTCCGTGCAGTGGAGGGATATTCGGGAGACAAAAAGCCTAACCTCCTCGTAGGTGCCCCATAAGTAGGTGGGTGCCCCATAAGTAGGGTGCCCTAGGTCCCTCGCTACCCTAGACAAGACAAAGCGCCCAGCACTATTAGCGACTGGGGGGACCTTGGGGGTGTGCCTAGTGAGCCTGGCTGCTGGAACTTTAGCCTAGTGCCTAGCGGCCTCTTTGCCTCCCTCAAGCCCAACTGATCGGCTACTCCGCTTAAACTCGAGGGTCTGGGTGGCATTGGCACACTGGCATTTGCTGCAACTGGGCACCTCACTCGCTCTCGCTCTCGCTCTGGCTCTGGCACTTGGGACTCGTTCTCCACGATCGGTCCATTCCACCCTCTCGTCAGCTGTCGACTACTTCATTGGTAACAAATCTCTCTTCTGCTGTAACAACCCTGCCTGCTGCCCTCAACACCTTGTTGCGCGACGACATTCTCTGGCAGCGAGCTATATACACAACCCCCCGTTCGTTTCCCGCAATCTATATCTACCAGCTATTGCGAGCCTCCAGTCCCCTCGCACCCATCTTTCATTCTTCCGAGCCTCTCCAGCCCGAGTCGAGCTCCACTGACAAGTCTGAATCCTGGTCTCGGCCCCGACCACCATCATCAACACCTCGAGGTCATCGACGTCCTCAAGTCACCGCTGTCCTCGCGAACACGCCCTCCGGATCTCCAATCCTCCCGATCGAGCCTGCGCTGTTTTGTTACTTACCTTCCGAACTCGATCACAACATCTAATTGTCTCCCCCCGCACTCAGGCCGCAACCGCAGGAGAACACCCGTGCAGCTCCCTTTGCAGCTGCAGCCGCATCTAGCGCTGCTTCTGCAGCGCTCTCGCTGTCGCAGTGCTACAACTGCCAATATTCCTTCGACATGGGTGCATGTGGGAGCAAAGAAACGTCGGCCGAGGACACGGAGCAGAAAAAGAGAAGTCAGGCGATAGACAAGAAACTAGAGGAGGATTCCCGCAGGTTACGGCGAGAATGCAAAATCCTACTGCTCGGTAGGCGACATGAATAACACGCCCATTGCGTACAGACGACTGATTTCGTAACCATGTAGGGTCCGGTGAGAGTGGCAAGTCGACGATTGTGAAGCAAATGAAGATTATCCACCAGAATGGCTACACGCAGGAAGAAAGGGCACTCTACCGACTCACCATCTACAAGAACCTCATTGATTGCATGAAGGCGCTGATCGGCGCCATGCAGCAATTCGAAATTGAACCAGAAGATCAAACTGTCAAGGACTACGTGGAGTACATAATGGAATTTAACGTTGACCCGGACCCCGACACCTCACTGGACCCCAAAATCGCCGACGCCGTCGAAGCCGTCTGGAAAGATCCAGCGGCAGCCAAAACAATGGAACGACAGAGCGAATTCTACTTGATGGATTCAGCCCCATAGTACGTTGTGGCATTCATTTCCCGAGGCAAAGTGGAGGCCCGGCCAGCTCACAGATTGATAGCTTTTTCGAAGAGGTCAGAAGATTGGCAGCGCCTGATTATATCCCCAACGAGGCCGACGTCCTACGCGCACGCACGAAGACGACGGGTATTTATGAGACCAGGTTCACTATGGGCCAATTGAGCATCCAGTCAGTAACGCAAAGCAGAATTGAGCATTGGAAGGTGAAGTTGTTGTGGCTAACTTTATCCCAGCATGTTCGATGTAGGCGGCCAACGCAGTGAGCGCAAGAAATGGATCCACTGCTTCGAGAACGTCACGTCGATTATTTTCTGTGTGGCACTCAGTGAATATGATCAAGTTCTACTAGAAGAGTCGAATCAGGTATGCAGAGGGTCGGAGCAAACAGTAAATGTGGGATGGGGTTGCTGACCGCCCTTCTAGAACCGGATGATGGAAAGCCTTGTACTCTTTGATTCGGTTGTCAACTCCAGATGGTTCATGCGGACAAGCATCATCCTGTTTCTCAACAAAGTCGACCTGTTCAAGGAGAAGCTCGGTCGATCACCGCTAGGGAACTATTTCCCTGATTACTCTGGCGGCA